TCGATTACTCATTCTAAACATAACACCTAACAACTGAATCAAACTTGTTTAAGAACCACGCCTTCCATCATCTTAACTATTATCTATAACAGTAAATGTTTAATTGACTGAATATTGCTATTCAATGTGGTGTGTTTGTATATAATAAACTGTATGAATATGTAATGATCATTCTAGTGTATCGTTGCATTCAAATCACGATAACCTGCAGGTTAGATCTATTTGTTAAGGCCACCTCCAGATTTGGTCAAAGGTCACGAGATGTAAACAGGGCTAGCGCTAACCCTAACCCTGGACCTAACCCTTACCCAAACCCTAACCCACAATCTCGTCAACAATCACGTACCCTTACCTTATTTATATCTCAGCGACCTTGACGAAATCTGGAGGTAGCCTTAAGAAAAAGATCTAGCCATAACCTGCATAATAATATACATATACTACACAGGTATTTGATTGATTACTGATATATACATGTACTATAATATGCATGTTATTGTTATAAAATGTATCAAGTTCAGAGCTAACTATATTATCAGCGTATATAATTGATCACCGAGAGAAATATGTGCCCTAAATTATGCATCTTAAATTATTATTGTCAACATAAAAGTTATTGCTTTTTTGCATGTTTATAGCAAGATAAACAATGTGATTATTCAATATCTGACCCGGGTTCATCTATTCTTAAGATCAAAGAAGTTCCGAAAATATTGAAATAAGATCATTTTGATATTAATCGTTCGCGTTATTCAAGTTGACCTGAATTTCATATTTTGACACCAACAAATGGGGTCAATTCAAGTTCGATCGTATCTAAATCAATGGTCATACTGGTCAACACGATCGAATGAGAAGGTAAACCATATGGAAATAAATATATCAATATGATCTATGAAACTTTTGATGAACATCTGATGATGTGTAGAGGAGTATCAGGTTCAAAATGTGATCTATATTATGATCGTGGTGGGAAACCATAACTTTATGCAATTAACCTGAAAAGTGTCAACTTTTCAACTTTAAATCGTAAGAATTCTACTTTCTTTCCTAGAATTTCTACTTTTGACTTACGATTTTCGAACTCAGATTCTCTCCAATAGAATTCCTTTTACCGACTGGCTTATACGAAAATAAAACCAGAACTCATCTATTGAGTGAGTGTTTGTGTTGTGGTTGTTCAAAGCCCACTAAATATTTGAGAGAGAGAGAGAGAGAGAGAGAGAGAGAGAGAGAGGGTTTAACGTCCACTCGACACAAACAAGGTCATTTCGGGACTAATATATGGTTCAATTTTATTTCAATAACTTGCTTGCGTCTAGCGGTCTTTTGCAATGCTAGGAAACCGGAGGACCCGGAGAAAACCCACGAGGCTGGACAGGCGACCCTACTCCTTGTCACGTACAACCGGGGAATCGAAACAACGCCAGTTGACTCAATAACAGATCTTATGATACAGCGCTCAAGCGCTAACCATTCGGCCATCCAACCCCTGATGAACTTTCTCGGCCAAATCCAAGATCGGAGACGGGACCTCCTGGTTAGAGAGTTAACGTATTACTCACTGAGCCACCGCGGCTCCCTTAAGCAATAGAAGATTCGTTTCAACGTATACGACTTTCATTGGGCTATTTGTTAAATAAATAAGATTGGAATTCGAAATAATTAAGAAAACTATTGAAATAAACAATTTTGAAGTTCTCTGCCAGTTCATAATATCAGTTCAGGGGATTTTACAGCCGGAAAGTCTGGCAAACCATTATCAATGTTTCTAAAGCACTGGGTACGCTAAAGAACTTGTAAATAGATTCAGGCCAGGTTAAAGGTAGACTTGATTGTCGAATATCCCGTGTTCGACCGAACTGAGAATAATTTCAGAATGTTTGAATAACGGTGATCACCAGTCGGCACATACGAAACTCACACTGGCGGTCTTCGATTAGCCCCGCTTGAGAGGAGAAGACAGTTCTCTCGAGTCAGCCTGATTCTGTGGGCCGAGAAGTAACGTGTTGTCTGGTTGTTTTGACGAACATTCATTTCTAATCAATGATTTAACAAATCCAAACTCCATGGGGGTCTGTTTGTGTGGTTACGTGAAATTATCCATTCACATTAACCAGGTCACCAACCATATAAAATAAAAATGCAGGCATCCTTGAAGGTTAACAATCTTGCTACAAACATCCAAGTTGAATGCAGAAAGCTTAATTTACATGTTTATGTTGCAAATTTCGTTCAACCAGAAAAAAAAAAGTTTAACGTTCAGATCCCAAAAATATTGTTTACAGATGCCTGACAGACCCTATTTGTGGAGCCAAAATCAACGACCCTGAACTTAGTCCTTCCCATCCGCTCTATTTCCAGTCTTGTTGTAGATTTCTGCAGACAAATTCATGCAATGAAATTTTGTTACAACAGATCGAATCCTCATTATTTTCCGGAACTTCACTCCGTAATTAAGTTAGAAATGGAAAGGAAGTGTCCATTGTAGAAGAACATCATGTGTATTCCCAAGTCATATTCGCGCGACCTAATTCTACTGAAGGCACGTCGGTAACTAGTGTGGGCTAACAATAAAATGATGTCCCGTCGAGTGTTTTGTTATACGTATACTTTATGACCTGAACTCGTAGGGCAAAGTAGCCATGGTTGCCAACTAATTCATGAGTCTTGATAGTCAAAGCCAGATCACAAAAAAATATTTGATACTTGACGCGAGAATACTTAGTCCTGCCGACGTCGGAAAAAAATTATATTTCGATCTTACGCATTTGGATCGATAATATAACATAAAAACCACTACAGGTCCAGGGCGGGGGAGGGTGCAGCCGGTGTACATCGCTCTGCGTCCCATGACCCCCAGAGGGCACATAAATATCTACCTAAGGGCCTTTTTCTACGTTGGCATGGTCGGTATCCGTGCAGCATAGTCCCCGAACCGATCCACTGGCATAATGTCTTTGTACAGGATGGGAGGGGGTGGGGGCAGATTGTTTCTTGCTCCTGTACATAAAACCTATGTCGGCCTGGTCATTTGTATACCTAAGGATACTAATTATGTGATGTGATTGGGCTTGGGTAACTACAGAGTGACAGGTTTAGTCAAGCAACAGACATGTAAAAAAACACACACACATTTCAAGTTGTTTCTTGATCAAAACATGAAGATACATTTAGGTTATTAAAATGAATTTATCAGTTCAGTTGGTCCTTTCTATTTTTCCCCATAAATGAAGGCACTATTTTTTGGCCTAATCACAAAGAAATTAAAGGTTATTTTTGTCAATTAAATCGAATCTAAAGAACCGTGCACAACCAACAAAGACATTCTTTGTCAACTCATCTTCTGATAAGAAGACGAAATTTCATTCAAAGTCTGTAGTATTTATTCAAGGGATTTTTTCTACAAAGATTTATAATATGTCATTGGCTGCTGAAAGAAATCAAGTTTTTATGATAACACAAAAAAGTACTTTGAAAACATATATAAATCGACTACTGACAATGATTGATGCCATGTTATGTACATTTAATTACATGTATATAAAATTATACTTTAACTGAACAAACAATGGAGGTCTAGTATGCCATAAAATAAATTATCAGGTGAAAAGAGTCATTAAACATACATTATGCAAATCCAAAAATGGATAATCGATACTACTTTATCGTACCGACTTTAGTAATGATGATCATGATGATCGAGGCTAGGCCTAAAATTCAAAAGCTAATATCTCGGTTCAGAGTCGATCAATTTGACTGAAATGTTCAGCAAATTTCCTTTACATTATCTAATTTTAAACTATTATAGTGAGAACTGCCAGCTCTATATCTAATCTCCCATAATGCCCCTGTAAGAAAATATACACGCCTTTGATGGATAATATTATAGAAATAGTAAAGATTCAAAGATATCCCAGGTTACTTTCTGTTGTGATTTTTGAAATTAGTAGAGAATATTATCATAGTAATTGGTCTTAAAGGGAGAGAGAGAGAAATGGGGTTTAACGTCCACTCGACACAAACTAGGACATTCCGGGACTAACATATGGTTTAATTTTATTTTAATAATTCATTTGCGCGTAGGGGTCTTTAGCAGTGTGAGGAAACCGGAGGACCCGGAGAAAACCCACAAGGTTGGACAGGCAACCCTACTCCTTGTCACGTACAACTGGGGAATCAAAACCCCGCCAGTTGACTCAATGACAGACCGTATGATACAGCGCGCGCGTGCTAACCATTCAGCTATCTACCCCCCCTGGTCTTAAAGGAGTTCTTTCATCTATTTGTATGTTCTAATAGTAATTATCTGTTTAAAGACTCAATGAGTAAGGTGTTTGCTAACCAGGAAGTCTTGGGTTAGATCCTTGTGTTAGCCAAGAAAGTTCCTCAGATTGGTGCAGTGGTGCAAGATGTGGGGTCTAGTCAGGAACACTGTCTAGTTGTACAGATAATACAACTGATGATGTCCTAATGCAATCTCTTAATTAAAGGAGCTAAATCGCTAATATTTTGGACCTAGAAATTGACACAAATGGGTGGCAACACATATAATAATGTAATATGAATGTATATAAACTGATTTACATTCAACCGTTTCTGTTTTTACTGTAATTTCTAATCAGTTATGTTTGATGAAATACACCAGAAGTCTCAATTGAATGGCAATCTTTAGAGTCTGGTTATTCCAATCTACGCAGATGATATTTATTGTGTATGCTCTCCAGATAAGAACATAGCGTCATCATTTGACATGACTTGTGGAATGTGTCTAGCCACGTTCTTTGAGTCCCTTGTTCCAAATGGCGCTGAATGTATTATGGTACACGATTCGTGTACCAATGGTAAACTTTTTATTTTGTCTTGAATATTGTATATCGGAAGCCCATCTTTTCCCTGTGAGATCACAAGACCAATGTTGATTTGAATTGACTAATAATTCGTGTTTTGAATGTCGAAGATTTTTGATGATATTGATTTGGAGAATTAGCTACTTTAAGGGCAGCTGCTGATCCAAGTAGTTGACATCATTTTCTGTCTTTTGTCAGTATATAGAACATCACCTTTAAATATTACAACTAGAAACAACAGAACAGTAATTCATAACCATTTGATGAAATGTCAGTAATGTTATTGCTGAAAATCAAATTATGTTTTCTGGATAATCTCATCATGTATTTCTTTTAACATTTCACATCGATGTCCTACAATATTCGAGAAGAAATAAAATTGTGTCTTTTTATCATCAGTGAATTCGTATTTGGAGAAATTGTGGCTCACAGATACGGGTCGTTTTGATAAAACCAAATCACCAATCGGCCATTCTAAACCAAGATGATTACGATGTAACTGAAAGTAAAACAATATAGTTTTCACTGGACTATGAATGAACATGATAAATAATACACATAAACAATATATTTTTCAACCAATCAAATTGCTTATCTCTGCTTAGTCTGTGCAGAAGACACTCAACTTCAAACTCCATCAAGACATTCACATAATAAACATCTACACCAAGTTTGAACACTCTACCTCAATTAGAAGGAGAGTTTCTGTGTCCCAACAGGCAGAAATACGGACGGACAGATCTATTTTAATAGTTGCCTACTTTCTTTGAAAGGCGAGGGGAAACAAATTCTGTGATATTAAATTGAATAGGGCCTTAAAAATACATTATGTAAGCTGGTCATTCTTACTATAATAGTTCAAAAATAAATATATTGAAAATTTCATTCAAATTAATTTATTCTGAGCAAAGATATCAGCCTTTGAGGGTTTGACAAGATGTGTGCACTGATTGTAACCACCGTACTGGTTGTTCGAGGCTTAGCCCCGCTTCACCATTTTTAAATTAAATCATTAAATGGCCGAACCATTCTAATCTACTTAAAATCGGACCCATCTGCTGGCATCAAGAGTTGATTATGGTCTTGTGTGTTAATAAATGTCTACTTAACAATTTATATAACATTTAAGGCCAAAAGAAAGACTTGCATAATGCCTGTTTAAGTAAATAAATGAAAGATAGAAAAGAAGGATATTATGTACCTTATATAATTGTCCTGTAGGAAAATGCCAGACAATACCTTCTAGTTTACTATTGTCATTATTCAGGAACCATTCTTGTATATTAGATCTAGTTATACTAGGTAGATTATATATAGGTATAGATCCATGTATAACTAATATATGTACAGGACATTGTTTACTTCCTATACCTAAATAAACAACAGACAAATATCATTGGTATTATTACATGTATCATTGATTTAGTTGGATAAATTGGAATATATATGCTTTGACCATAAATGAGGGTTATTTCAATAATGCAGTATGAACATCTTGAAAGAGTGCATAGAAAAGGAAGGAATCAAATGGGTGTTGTATCCATTTCAGGACTACCAAATCGTAATTCAATAATTTATTTTTATTTAGCACTCTTTAACAGGAGGTGACCCTACCGAATCCCCTTACTGAAAGCAAAGCCACAAATGAATTTGTGACAAGGGAGAGAAAAAGAGAAATGAGGTTTAACATCCACTTGACACAGATTACGTCCTTTTGAGACTTACATGTGTTACATTTTTATTTCAATAACTCGCTCGTGTATAGAGCTCTTTAGCAGTACATGGAAATCAGGTAAACCCACAGAAAACACACAAGGTTAGACAGGTGACACCCACTCCTGGTCATAATCTAAAGCTCACACATAAGACAACCCCCCAAAACTGTGACAAACCAATGACCTGAAGCATTATGCTAGAAAAAGGACAGACTCATACCGTTACTAATTTTACAAATTTTGACAATTGTATCAAAGGGAGATAACTACATTTTTTCTGAGTGATGTACCTGGTAAAAAAACACAGATCAAATACAATGGGAGAGATATGGTGTTTTAAATCAACTTAACTCAATAACATGATGATCTTTATTTCATAAATTAGATCGTGTAAGGGTCTTTAGTAGTGGGAAGAAAACAGATAACCTGAGGAAAACTAATAGGCTGCCAACCCTATTCTTTATCACATATAATTGCATGGCATCAAAAATAGGCCCCTCAGCTCAATCACAGAACTTATGATCTAAATGGCAGGTAGAATTACACCACCAAGTCACCCACCCCAACATTCCATAACAAAAGCACAATTGAAAGCGTCAACTATAAATGAGAAGTGGTATGAAGTGTTCTAAAAATAGTCAATATACCAAGCTACTACTTATAGTTTGATGTTGAATATATTATGTATGAATGCTATAAAATATACAAGTTTCAAATAGTACATACCATATGGATTGCCATTAACCATGGTGCCAATTAATTCTGCTGTATGTCCTAACAATGTTTCTAATAATACACAGTCTATAACCAGCTCCTTGTTATCATCCGTCTCCCTGTAAAAAAAAATATAGTTTGAGATAAAAATGAACAGTGGTTAGAATCTTTTAAACTCTGTGCAACACATACATGCGACTAATGCTCAACACAAACTAGGTCTTTCTGGGACTAACATATATTTATCTTTATTTCAAAAATTGTCTTTATTGCCATGGGAGGCAACCAGCCGTGCAGCAAAAGCTACAAGGTCAGCAAACAACCCTACTCCTTGTATACAATGTATACAGGCCTGGGATCGTCAAAACCACTCTACTTGTATCAATGACAGAGCAAATGAGTTCGACCAGTCGGCTAATAATAAACATTGTACCTTAATACAACAGCTAAGCCTTGTTGTAAATCAACTGAAGTCAGATGCCAACAATGTTGTCTAGATTTAACATCGACTGGCACCCATCCTGGAGTATGTCCAATAGAATCCGGTAAAACATGGCCATCCTGTACATCAACTCCAGATGCAGGTTTCCAATGATCTGGTATATCCTGGAAAATACATGTTTATATACAATAACAATAATAAATTACTTTATATGCTACATGTTCAAATCACTTGTTAAAAATTGAAATGGGATTTATTTAATATCCTACTTTCTGCACTAACTGGGCTTATGAAGACAGACATATATCATGCAGTGTGCTAAATGTATGAGGGAAATTTTGCATGGATAATGGCGTTTCCACCTACTCTTTGTCTATCACCAGAGTAAAAGGGGAAACCAGGCCTAACAATCTAAAGGAATTTTCTCCGATAATATTGCTCATCAATCCCAGAACCTAAACATTAGTGAGTCAATGCCATATTCACTGAGAATAATTGAAAAAATGTTTTTGAATACCTAATATTTTTGTAAATATAGTTATTAGGGTGCCATGACCAGCATATCATGATGAGATTATTCTTTATAACCTACTGTAGAGATAGTAACCATAGTTTACTGTGGCATCCATCTAGAAAATCTGATCATCCATCTTGTCAGTACGTTATTTCAGTACTGTATACAATAAACAGGCAAAAGTAGCTACACTCCAAACCAAACACCAATTATGATATACCTTAAAGTCTTTTGAAAAATCCCATTCAAATTTACGTTCCATGATTTCAGATCTGTTCTCACAAGACTGTTGCTGATTTTGGAATTTTCTGAATCTTTTCTCGGCACCCTTAGTTGGTTTCCTGTCATATCTTGCCCACAACCATGGCTTACCTATACAAAAAAAGCAAGTCAGTAATGCTTGGTTTAACTGAGGAAGTAGGGAGGTCGAGTGGTCTAAATTGTATGCTTTAGGTCATAAGATCTGTCATTGTGATCAGTCTTGTAAAATTAGATACTGTTTGATAATTTCTAAACAGAATCCATGCCACAACAAGTAGTAGTACTCTGTCCATGTGTTTGTCAATAACTTTACACATCACTATCTGATATTGCTGAAAGTTTATCGGAAATATCTACACCAGACTTGACTGGATTTTAATGAGGAGAATTGTTAAACTCATTGAAAATCACTAAAAAATTTGCATGCATCTCAGCAACTGCTAGTCATATTTATCAATTATGTACATAGGCTATACTATCAAATTTAAACATGCAGCTGAAACTAAAGATAGGTCGCCAGGCAACGAAACATACGCCCACAGCAGCTAAGTTTTCCAAGCTGTCAACAAGAGTTGTCGCATATTTTTTCTATTGGCTGTAATGAAACCTTTATAATACACTAAAATCTGATTAAGAGTAACTCATTAAGCAACAGAAATCATTAGAATTTGTTTGGCTTTTAGTTCTGCCCCATGCTAACGTTTAGTATACGAAACATTTAATATCATGAATTTAGCTGTTCAAGTTAACAAAATTCATTGAAAATCAATATACATGTATACTAATGTCCAAAAGAAAGTATACACTGCGCATTTTGTGCTGCATCAACCAAAGTCGTTTTTGCCATGGTTTACGGTATTTGGGTAGAATGTCAATTTGTTTCACATTTTTATTTTGCTTAGAAATGTTGAGTTTGGACGCAAGAGACAAACTCAGTAATGCTTTATCAAATGTTTTTAATCTAAACAAAACTTAGTCATACTTTTAGTGTGTATACTTTCTTTTGGACATCAGTATACTTGTTCGTCTCAAGACCTTAAACTCTGTTTATCAATCTAAAGACAATCGGAAATCATTGAAAATCACTGGGCTTCTTCTTCTCATGACCTTAAACACTGTGTATAAATTTAGCCTCTAGAGCGTCCACAAGATATTTCAAAGTGCTCAAAAGCCATAACTCTAGCACAGTACTTATCGGAAATCGTTGAAAATCAATAGGCTTCTTCGTCTCATGACCTTAAATACTGTGTATAAATTTAGCCTCTACAGCATCCAAAAGATTTTTCAAAGTGATTAAGGGCCATGAATCTGGTAGCAATTTTTGGAAATCATTGAAAATCACTGGGCTTTTTCGTCTCATGACCTTAATCACTGTGTATAAATCTGAAGTCAATCGGATATTCACTTTAGCCTCTAGAGTGTTCACAAGATATTTCAAAGTGAACAAGGGCCATAACTCTGGCATTAATGATCAGATATCATTGAAAATCAATAGGCGTCTTCGTCTCATGACCTTAAACACTGTGTATAAATTTAAAGTCAATCGGATATTAACTTTAGTCTCTAGAGCATCCACAAGCAATTGTGGACGCCAGACCGAGGGACGGACCGACAGGGGTGACGACGACAATATACAACCAAATTTCAATGTGGGCGTATAAAAAGTCAAATGTATTTTCCCCTGCAAGTCTTGCTATCCAGAATTCAGTGTGAACTGCAAGGGAAGTCAATTCTGCATGGGAGAATGGGTCAAATCATATACCTGTACATGTATATATTACCACATGGCGAAGAGTCTTCATGTTTGAAAATGGGGTTTTACATCATGCAACTTGATCCATGGGTACAGAGACATTTTGGTAAATTTTCAACTCAAGCAGTCATGACCCCCGACATATATGGCCGAACTGGAACCAATGGCAAAGAACTCAACTGCACTAATTATCAGATCTTACCATTAAACTCATCAATAAGGACACAAGTTCCATCTAGTTTTTCTGTAGCAAGTACATCATTCAGTTCTGTTAAATCTTTGATTTTAGGATTGAGTTTTTCCCCAGCCACCACCTTATATGGCTGATTCGACCTTTTATCAGAAGGTTCATTTATCACAGAGATTTCAAAAATACAAGGAATTTTTTGTTGTACAGATTTCAATTTCTCCATATTTAATAGTCATTAGCAGGCACAAGCTATTCACATCATCTTTCTACAGAATTTGTCTTCTCACTAAATATCTAAAAAAATATTAAAGAGGAAAAATTTAATAAAATGAAATGCAATGGGGTTTAACGTCCTACAGTGCTAATGACGACAGGCATAGGCCTACGTAATACACTGTCCTATGACGGAAATTTTGCCAGGACATCAGCACTGTACATATGGCCTACTCTTATGTCAAATTCCAACAGTAGAGATCTTTTTATGTCAATCCATGTATAACGGACTTCAGTTTTTCATCCCATCCAAATGACTAGATACTGTCCCTACCAGGTCCTTCATCCTGCACCACTTACAAGGGGCAACCGTGTGCAATATAGATCATACCGTGTGCAATAGATCATAACATATGTCGTTTAACCAAGTGGCATGGTTTCGATTCCCTGCTTGTATGTGTCAGGGTCAAGGAGTTGGGTCGCATGTTTAACTTCATGGGTTTTCTCCAGCTCCTCTGGTATCCTTCGAAAAAGGTCCCTAACAAGTGAATTAAGCCTGAAATGACCTACAGTTTGGGTCGAGTGGCAGTTACGAAATGACCTAGTTTGTGTAGAGTGGTAGTTAAACTTAGTCCCATTTCTCTCTTTCACCCTTTAGTGTAGAAACAAATTGCTAAATAGTGAAAATAAACTATTCATTCAACCGTATGGCTTATTTCATGAAGTTTCATCATATTTTTATTTTGCAATTCAATAATGAACGAGTCGAATGACCTAGTAACAACAGTATAGCTGTGAAACTGGAAAATTAATAATAATATCAATGCATTGTAATCCATGTCATGAATAAAGTCACAGATGTGTTACATGATTGGGTGATAGAACAAGATCTACCTAAATCAAAATGTTCTACTTTCAGTTTGTTTATCAATATCATTCGACCAGACTGCAGAGCAACGTGGAATTAAATATTATTTTATCGTTCGAGATCTATCCCATATGTTTTAACTTGGTTATAATAAATCTATCCTTTGGGTCCTTGAGCTTTACTTCATATCCATAATCACTTTACATAATAACGGTAAAAAAACATAAGTAACTATAAAATGTTTCACAATCTTTACGTTGAAAATCTTCATAAAGCGGGTCCCTCATAGACAGATGTATCCAGCCTCGAAATGAACCCAATCAAGACAACCGAGACTACACGCATTGGTAGCTGCACTGTAAATTCTCCGGGTGTGTTAACCGCCATCTTAGGGGCGGGATGGCCTAGTGGTCTAGAGTGTCATGCTTCGAGCTCGCGCTGGCCGGTCACCCCTGGCTTCGGATCGTGGTTTCGATCCCTGGTGTATTTTTACTCTGTGGTATGTGTCGGGTTTATTCCGGGTACTCCGGTTTCCTCCCACAGCAAAGACGCGTGCGCTAAGATAATAAAAAAGAATGAAATTAAGTCAACTTGTCTGCGATATCACCTTCGGTGGAAGCAGACGTTAAACACTACATAACCGCCATCTATCGATATAAAGCCCTAATCCAGAGGGATTTCTCGGGCCATTGCTTCAGGAATATGCACTTCACCAGGCTTTCGGTTTTGTATCTGCCATAAGTTACTCACATTTAATTTTATTCTTCAAAAAGTTATTTTATCCATATTCCTGAAACAATGGCCCGAAAACAAACGAAACATTGCGAGGGGTGTGCTTTTATCATACAATTCAAACTTACTTTTTTTAAAACTTAGATAAGCATTAATTACTGCACTGCCGGGTGCATACCAATAAAAATGCACACAGAAAGTCCTGTTCAGTAAACCTATTAACGTACTGGTGTATAATTGGTTGTTGTGTGGTTGGGAAACTGGACTCATATTTCCCGGATTCGTACCACAACGTGGACCGAATAGTACGTAGTTCCTTTCGGGGCGGTCTCTGATCGGAGAGGACTTCGTCCGATCAGAGGCCGTTCCTAAAGGAACTAACAATCTAGCTGTTCGTTTGGCACCAAAATAATGGACGCAATCCGTATATAGCAGTTGAGACCCGGAGAAGGTCTGAACATATTCACCACTATGACACTGTAACTATAATAAATAATATCAAACGTATGGTGCCAAGAGTTCTGATGAGGCATCAGGTATCAGAGATATTGTCACCATGCAAAGCCAATCAACAAAACAACAATTTTAAGTAAGCCGCCAATCCTATCCAATATTATGGTCATGATCAATGCTATGATAAATAAGCAAAAATTGTTTATAGAGGAAACTGCTGGTATGGAAATCGTCATCTATGGTAGAGTAGGAGGAGCTTAGTTCATCAACCATATAACAAGAACCACAACCAATAAATTCCCCCTGGGCTATTTTTGTAATACAGACATGTTAAATTACGCAACAGACCTAATTCCATAAAATGAACACCAACGCTTCGCTCAAAATATGCAATATGCACTAGATATTTTGACGTGAATAGGCATAATTTTTAATAAAAACAATTTGTTTTGGGGTCTTTTTCTCTTTTGCTTTTTTGGGTTTTTTTTCGTTTTTTTTTTTTTTTGGGGGGGGGGGGGTATTGCTCATTTTATTATTGTTGTTTTTATATTTTTTTTACTTTAAGTTTTCACGATTTTCTTTTCAATTTTTGTTTGTTCTATTTTTAATGTATGTACTATCTATTGTTTTTTTTTTATTTTCCCTGCAAATTAGTTTAAGGAAATGTAAAGTCTAATTTTATGACACATGGTTGTGGTGATGATTTGGTTGATAATCAGTCACTGTAAAGATATTCCTGGTATTTAGCAGACAAGATAAGTAAATAAATTGAAACTCTCAACTCTAAACATATCAATATAGCTTCTATAACATATAGGTTTTAACCGACGTAGTAAAAAATATTATGAGAACCTCTAAGTTCAATCTAATTCCTTTATTCTTACTGCATTATGGAACCACCTAGATCGATTCAAAATTTTCCAGTACGCACGTACGTACGTATATTAAATAGGCGTTTCCCTGACACAGAGAATTCGGCTTACTAAGAGAACCAGTTACACGAAACCTAATTATTCTTCAAAACAACGTTCAAAATATAACAAGTGAATCATAGCACGATACCGTAAGTTTTCACTATAGACTTTCTTGTGACTCGAGTTACCCTCAACCACATTATTTACTTCCTTTGGCTATAAAAGGTAAGCTCATTCGCTTCCTCTTATCAAGCGCGTGCAAAACCATTCCACCGACTGGTTCTATTCCAAGCAACATCTTTGGTGTATCCTGCGAGAAGTAAACGAAGGATTTTGTGAGTATCTTTACTTTTGTACGTCTTTTGCTTTTTCACCCATCGCTGTTTACCTGACATTCGACATTTTCCTAGTTTCTCAAATAACCAAATACTTGTTACTTTTCGTTTATCGTTTTTCTATCGTAAATATCGAACGTTTAGTATGTTTTATTATCTGGTTAATATGGAAATTGATATGGAAATCTAATTTTAATTAGAACATCACAATATCTTCTGAAAATGTGTGAAGAAGCAACGCAGTAATAGTTTTTGCGAAATTGTCAATTTGACATAAGTATAAACCTATCAAAAATGTTTTATTAAAATAATATCTTTAATTTTTGAAAAGGTAAAGTTAAAAATGGTGTAGGTAATTTCTGCTGAGTTCTCTTTTACAAGAACATAAAATAAATCGTTCAAAAACTGGAGTTTTATGTAAAATACAGACAATTTTAAAAACAATAAATAATTCAAACACAACAATGAAATGCATTAATTTCTTAAGACTAATAAGTAATTATGCAGTGTCGATACTTCTAGAAATTCTACAAGCTATTTATAACATAAACATATAAAATGCTAAAACAGTAACATAAAATGAAAATAGTCTACCGATTAAAGAATTTGGAATGGGGTTTTTTTTAATTTAAAAACGGATTATATAAAACTATAATGCTGTTTACTATAAAATACAGAACATGAAATAGGTACAACTAATGGCTATGGAATAGATAAGAAAAATTCGGGTCCATTCGATGTATGCCTGCTGATACAAGTCAAAATCAATTAAAGCTATCAAGAAGGCTATCGTTAGGAATTTCTCGACAGATGCATTTTTGATTGTGCAAGGCTGTCTATATGAGTTGCTGAGCTAGGAATTCGTGTGCCGGGACGTCTGCCAATGTTGAGTCAATTCTGCTACAAAAATAGAAAAGTTTTGCCAAACATTTCTATAATAGCGGCTTGTTAACGTATTTCGGCACAGCTCGGCTAATGATGAAATGTGAAGTATGTCTAAATATCATGTAGCCTAATAAATAATCATGTGAACATTTTAATATCCTAATTAGTTCAGACGGCATACAAGATTTTCCATTTGTAAATTTCAAAAGAACGGTCTTAAAGAAAACTGGATAACAATAATTGAGTGACCCCCAGTGCTCTAATTAAAATGTTTAAAAAAAACTGAATATTTAAGATTATCTTGTATGATAACACATGGCACAATTATATGGAATACAAGTTACTAAAAAGTTTATTTGAGCGACGTTTCGACATTATGGCTTCTCCACACTGCTTGATGTTATCAATTCAGTTTTATTACACCTTGTTTACACATACATATCCACTAAGTACGTACTGTATCATCATTAATCCATTTAATTTACCTGTCTTTATTATAATCATGTATTTTATTACTACCCAACCGTATGACATCTCACCCCTTTGATGGTCGTAAGCGTTTAATCAGAAGGTCTGTCATTGAGTCAAATGGCGTGGTTTCGATTCTCTGCTTGTACGTGACTAAGGAATGGGGTCACATGTCCAATCTCGTGGGTTTTCTCCGGGTCCTCCGATTCCACCCCACTGTTAAAGATCCCTACGCAGTACGCCCAAGCGAATTATTGAAATAAAAATTAACCATATACCTAGTTAGTTTGTGTCAAGTGCACGGTAAAACGCATTTCTCTCCCCCCTGATGGTTTCTAATTCATTATCTTTCGTTGTATACTAATGGTTATGATTCTTTGTTTGATAAAGACGAGAGAGTCCTCGTCGAAACGTCGCCAGTTATAAAGTTTTAAGTCACTTGTATTCCATATAATTCTGCCATAATGTGTTTTTCTCGTTCAGTTACTAAAATGCCGCTTAAGCAATTTATCTTGCTTGTGCCTTTATATGTTTAGGTGAAATGACTCATTTTGTTTGTTTTGTTAGTACATTTTTGTTCCCTGATGATAGTACTTTTTGCTACTTTTACGCCCTTTTGGATTTTTCACTATATTGAAAAATTCATGATTTTATATTATAGATTCAATCGAGTCGGAGAGACAGACTTTGGCAGTACAATTAATATAAAATATATATATTTTGTAAATGTAGAATCAAATTGATTAACAAAATAGAACAGATTGGAAGGAGAGTTAGGTCTCTCTTTTTTTAATTTTAACCCCGTTTTATCGTCATTCTGAAACTAAAGCATTCTGATTTGTAGCCCAGTTATTCGTCATGTATGTTGATGCCGGATTTATAAACACAAATAAAGCAAAAAATTGACGATGATTTGTCACGTTCCTATATAGCAGCAAAGTCGTCCGTGATTGTCAACTTAGTTTGAAAAAAGCCATAGAGTTTGTGGGTAGTTGTATATTTTACGTTTAATTTACTATTACATACAACAGCCGCGGATACAGAGGGGGTGGGGTTGTAGTGCTACACACACTCCCACCCCCTCCGCCCCCACGCGAACTTTATTTAGTTTTTATTATATTTAAGATGGTTAGTAGGAGTGTCAATTTAGGATTGAATAATCGTCACGTAATGAGTCCGGCAATCATGTCGATTGACGTATGTTGATAGCGATATAAGCTTTATGGATATTAAAAATTTTGAGCATTGTATGAGTAAGCTTAAATGTTATCACCCGTCGGCGATAAATCACACCTTCGCCACTGATACCAGTCCGACTATATTACTCGAACATATGAAACGGAAATAAGAATTTCACAAACTGCTTTAATGAAGAGCGTAACAATAATTGTACCTTTAATAGTCGACGTAGCTGGGGGTTATTTTGGGGTTTTTTTGTTGTTTTTTTAGGGGGGGGGGGGGCAGTGGGGGTGTGTGTGTAAAAATATCTCCTTAAAAACGTCCAAAAAAGAAAAATTACAGGTACCTTTGTTTTACCACCCAACCCCCACCACTTTAAATAATCCTGTTTCTGCCCTGTGTAACTTGACATTAGCTTTGTGACTCTTAACTACACATCGACTGTCTATACAAATACTGAACATCTAAAATAGACTTGAATTTTTTGATTCTGCACCTTTTACAGTACAAATTTAATGTGAACTAAAGTGGGTTTACTAGCACACACATCGCTGTGCAAAGAACTTTGTTCTCTAGCACCAGTGTTTGTGAGAATGCTATTCGTGTGTCTTTAACTATACTTCTGCCGGTCGTTTTGACATCGCGATTTTCGCGGGTGTCTGCTATGACATCAAATATCGACTTTTGTAATACAAAATGGATTGTCTTGTATAAGTAATTGTCAATCTGTACATAGAGAACTATCTAACTTTCGTTAGTCCCGAAATGACTCAGTTTGTGCCGAGTGGACGTTAAACCCCATTTCGCTCACGCTCTCTAAATGCCCGCCATATCCAACAATCAGTATACTGTTTTGCAATGCGGTCGTACTCGGTTCCCAATTGTAATACTCAAAAAGACTAATTAAACTAATTAGACTAATCAATTTTATTAAATGAAAGCAGAATATATTATATTATATACTTCTCAGAATTTTCGAAATATACTTAGTGTTTTCGATTAAAATTGTCGATCGGTCAACTAGCTTAGTGTCTGTTCTAGTAGTAGACAAACAGCGTATAAGTTTAGTAATTGTGTGTATCTTGGAATTGTGACGTCATATCAAAAATTAGGTCCGTCAATTTATTTGAAATTGACTAAATAACAAACAAGTCAAGATTATGTCCCCCGTTTGTCGGGGAAAATGTTATTTATTTAGAGCTTCTCAGACACTGCTCGAGATCATGCTAGGATGATTGTGGGATTATGAGAGAGAGAGAGAGAGAGAGAGAGAGAGAGTATGCCTCGCAAAGACGTTTTAAAAATATTTTGTTTTTTGGTTTTATTTGGGTGTATTTTCAAAAAGGAGGAGGGGCTTGATAACACCTTGTTTTGACTGTTTCTAGACACCACTGAAAAATACAGATTTGGAATTCGTTAGATATGTCAATATTAAATCCGTCCTTGATTTTATTATAAGGACGCTGGTCGTTAATAATTCATCAAATGCACCATGTTTTGTTGTTTTTAAAGGTCACTTTGTTATATTTTAGTGAACGCGGAGGATTCCAGTTGTTACAGCCAGGATGAGCCGTGCATCGAAAAGTGGTCTCGCAGCTGACATTGAGCGAAAACTTGAACATGTAAGTAGGTGCTTTACACTCGACAAACCTCATAAGATTCCAGTACCCTACATCTAGCCTCGGCTGTATGACGATGTCCGCCATTGGAACTATTTTCAAGTTCCCGGATTACGAACAGCGTTGTCGATGACGACGCCTTTGAAGAAAGTTTTATCATACAAATATTTCAAAGTCTGAAGTACTAATAATATCGCTAAAATCAAGATACGATAAACCCCATTCTATTATTATTTCACTTCATTTTGGTGGTCCCAACCCATGATAAGAAGATCTGAATGAAAATATATTTTATCTAGATTCTTTTTTATTTACAGCAATATGATGCAACAGAAGCACGAGGTACCCCAGATGCCGTCAGAATGTGGATTCTAGCTACTCTGGGGGAGAAAAGCGATGTTGTAAGACTTAACATTTCAATATTTTAAATTTATAAATACCATCACCGGATGGAGCATCTTGAAATCGTATTGACATCATTATTGTAGAAAGGGTGACATAAAGTAACATATTTTTGCTCTTAATGATACATAAATTTTGTTGAGCTTATTGGACTACTAGGTGTTATATGTTCGCTTAGAGATACTTGAAACGATGTGGGTCATTAAGAAGGTCACGCGACCGCATATGGGTCTTTAAAACTAATCCTTTTTTCACACGCAACCACCTAAATTGTTTTGAATGCCATGGAAAAGTGTTTCTGATCACTGATTCTGAATGAGGTCAACCATAGCCCTATTTTGTCAGAAAAAAAGACTTTTGACTTTTTACAATCAGATTAGATATATACTGCTTGCTTCACATTATATTTTTATTTTAAAAAGAAAAACACAACAAGGGTGCAGTTATGAAGGGTTTGTAGATCAGCGTGGGGTGGGGGCGTAAAAAGGGTATGAGGTTGATTGACATTAATAAATCAACTATGTTACATTGGAGTGTTAGTATAAGACCCATAATGTTTCTTTATTTCATGGCAAAAGACCTGGGTTTCAAAATATGGCTTAGTATGTGCAATTATTACGAACAAGCTTTCTTTAAGTTGGGCAAACACATATCTGCTAGTTGATGCGCCAGCTCGTATTCAATCAACTTGAGAATCCGACTATCTGACAACAATTTTCCAATGAAGAGCTACACACGCACTCGGATTCCGAGACAAATTCGATTTCTCCAGAAACAAAACTGAAGAGAACGGCTATTCCTGTTCACATAGTGTTCATCTTACTGCCTCGATGTTTTAAAACATCCTTGCATTTCATTGAATAACCGGGTATGATTTACGGACGAGTAGAAGAAAACGTCCCGGAAGATATACCCCAGGTGCCTAAGTTCACTTACCTTTTAAGAGGGCCTGACCCCAAAATCCATATTAGGAAGAAAAGTTTGTAGGCTATATGTTGACACTGTCGAGCCACCAAAGTCAATTAATGACGTTCCAGTTAAAATATCTGTCCAGCTAAATAATTTCTTGAAGCCATACCATCGACCAAAAATGAAACACGCAAATTACCAATGCCTGGTATGGAAGCAGTCAATAAGTCCAACTCAGACTGTGCCTTGTCCTTGAAGCTGTGACTGGTTTTTCAATGATGGGACCCTCATTCCCGGGGCTCCTGTCTTTGGAGCCTCTTCCAAAATTGTGAGAAAAAAAACTTGACAACGTGCGCTAGCACAACTGGTTGCAAACCCAAAAGATGCGGTTTCATAAAATTAGGGTTCAACCGATGTGCCGGTGCTTGTATTGTCGTGGTTCACGTAATCCCGAGGACAGCAATGAATATCTGTGGGACAAACTTATGTTGCGACATTTTGGAAACCTTTAATGAACTAGGGAGTTGGATGGCGCGTTGGAACATAAGGTCTGCCATTGAGTCACGTGAGGTGGTTTCGATTCCATGCTTGTATGTGACAAGAAGTAGGGTCGCCTGCCCAACCTCGTGGGTTTCCCTCCCACGTGAACGATAATGTTAGTCCCGAAATGACGTAATTTGTGTAGAGTGGACGTTAAACCCTATTTCTCTACCTTTTAATTTCCACTGATGATCTATTTTGATATAATGTTTTATTTAGAATGATTAAAAAGCCAAACAAGCGTAAAACAGCAATTTTGACCTTCAAAAACATCGTACTCAATAAGGATAGGAGATTTATTTTGGTTTCAAGGACTGCCATAGGTGTCGTCTTTTCGAATTAGTGATCAAAACATTTTTAAATTGCATGCAAAATAATTTAGACGGTTGCATGTTGAAAAGGTTTGTTTTTAAGAAACCCATCCGTTCTAGCATTGTGACATTTTGAGGAAAGTGTTAATTAAGACATTCATGTTTGGCATCCATCCTACCCAGATGCGACACAACATGATCTACCGTACTGTGGTGAATGCTTATCTCTAACATGAAATGATTCGTAAAATCTCATTTTTAGATTTCATCCTCCTACTATTAATCAGTTATTGATGAACCGAAGATGAAGTGTGGTGTGCCTTAAACCAAGACCATGTTACTCTCTCTATCCATCTTATAATTGTCTAACACTTGCATGATCGTATTTGGGTTCCCAAGATAAGCATTTATTTAGGTGTGTGCGTGATGGTTATACCCCTAGTTTGCTCATCTTGTGATATGCATTAGTTATCTTCAAAAGAATTGGGAGGTAGCCAAATTCTTGAACAACTTGTAGTAATGCATAGCCTAGTCATAGAACAGTGATACATCCTCTGATGGCTTCAGTGGAGTTGGAGCACTAATTAAAAATTGTCATTCAACATTTTGCATCCATCCTACTACCATAAGATTTTCAGCACCTATCGATAAACCAATATGATTTAACCTTTACTTAACATAATGTATTCCTTCCTTTTTTCCTTCCTTAGGTTAAAAATGATTTCAAATCCATAGCTGCATATTTGAAAGACGGCACTGTCCTTTGCAGGTTAGTACCTCCACGGGTCCGAATTCAGCTCATCAAGAAACTACACAAAGAATAATTTTATAACATATAGATTTAACTTAAAGGAGAACTTCGACCGTTGAAGTGTTGTACTCGGCCCTGTGTATATATAGTTTTATAACTTGGGGTTGACAAACGCAGTTCGGAGTTTTTATTTCTTTATCTTTTGGGGGTGGGGTGCTCGGATTGTTCATCTAGTCCTACATCAATAAGTCCCAGTCAAAAAGGGCTTAAAATTCACGATCAACAGGGACACCTAATGTGACGTACGATATGACAGCTTTGGATATGACAGTTATGATATACTGCTATTGAATAGGTAAGAGTTTAAAAATAATATACTGGAGTGTCCGTGTTTTGCCTTTAAAAAGTAAATTGAATTCAAACGTTAAATCTATACTGCGGCCGATTGTTAGCATTGTTTAATAAAGGCTTTCAAACTCCAATACCTAATGGCTGTAATTTGGGACGTTTCTAACGGCATTTACGACCAAATTGCAAAGCTAAGAACCGTGTTCTAATTGAAAAGCTAAGAACGGTGTGTTAACTAAACTATGTAGGCCTACACCTTGGTCCGTATTCAAAGGAAATTTTATGTTAGCCACTTAACTCCTAGACTTCACTTAAATATACGTAACTTCCTGTCAGTTAAGGGTAAGTGGTATCCAAAGGCAATGTTAAGTATCAATTTTCCCTTAAAGATAAGTTGCCTTAACTCACAGGCACTTGGAGGGATTAAAATAAAATTTCTCGAATCTTACTACTGCTTGACTATATACTACAATAACAAATTGTATCACTCGCCATATTGTTTTTACTCGTTGAAGTCATTTCGTTTGCTATCATCTCACTAGTTCTAACACTCCCCGTCGTTTTTATTGCCAACAACACTTTTATTTGATCATTGTACAGCTTTCGATATAATTAAATTGGTCATGTTACAGCGATATTAATTACAAATCAACCATAAAGCGCTATCGCCTGGCGATTATTAACTTCGTAGGACCGGAAGTAACACAACATGAGGCCAATGACGTGTTACTAAAACTAAAATTGACTTTAATAGCTGACCGCAAATTAAGAATCTTATAATGAGAGCTGGTTGTGGATGTGTGGTTTCAGTCGATATTTGCTAAATAGATTTTATGGCATCGATCGTTATTTGCTTCATTAGTTTTTCAGAAATCGTTCTTTTTTAAATTGACTAATAAATTTAAAATATTTAAAATCCGTGTAAAAAAATGGTGTCTAGTGTCACTCTAGAGCAGTCACTTATGTCCGCATTTTTTTGTTTGTATGTATAAGACAGACAGAAACAACACGGTGGCGCCCCGTTACAACAATACTGTGGTCCGTTTTTATAACTTCAAAAGCCTGACTTTACTCTGGCGTTTATTACCAGGGACATTTTTCATTTTCACCTGTGTTTTGGTGCAGTCTGGATATCCCAGTCCCTAGGCAAATTTCGTATAACGGATAGGTTAATGAAGGGACTGGGTGATACAGACTGTTACTAACAAAAACAAAAGGGAATTGGCTAAATCTATTTCTTAAGGCTAATTCAAGATTTCGTCAAGGTCGCTGAGATGTAAAATAGGGCTAGGGCACGTGATTGTTGGCGAGATTGTAGGTTAGGGTTAGGGTAAGCGTTAGGGCTAGGCAGGGCCGGCGGAGGCAATTCTTGATTGGGAAGCTACCGTCGTAGGACTTCGGGCGAGGGTCGAGGTGGCGCCTATGCCCCGGAAGCTCCCGGGGGTCTAGATTGTCGAAGACGCTTTCTAAGCGATTTCTGGCTAGTAAAATTATTCAGCATTGAAGTTTTTATGTTTTTTTAAACCCTTACCACAGTTTTTTGGCGTGGGCTTATATATATTCCCTAACTTCCCGGTGCTACCCATACTCCCCACAGTGTTTCGTATGATTAGAGCTAATCACACTAAACACTGCTTTAATGGAAGCAAATTTCTGTTCCAAATTATGACTGGTCAATAGTCCGATTAACAACCAATTGCTAACTGCGTAACAATGACATTACATTTAAAACAAAGCTCCAAATTGGACCAAATATGTTTACATAACGTTACGTCATGACTCACGATTTTATTATGCCCAATTAACCAGTTAACCAGTGCCTAGCAGAATATCGCAGAAAAACTAATTGCGTGACAAACGGGGCTATCAACAAGAATACAATGTAAACAATACTGTATGAAGACTTTCACCGTTTTTAATACCTTAAATCACTGTCGAAAGTTTTAGGGAAGACCTCAGATTAAACGAAGGGCTGTTATGTTGCTGTACTTGGGATAGATTTGATTGAATGGGGAGAATAGACACACTCCCTCAAAAGCTCAGGTATCAGAAGCCAATCCAGCAATGGCCAAAGAGGGATTTCTCGGGCCATTGCTTCAGGAATATGGGTGCTACCATGAAACCCGAATTACGGTCCATGGTGTGAATAACGCATTGGCAATTTAATGATATTTTTCAGACAAATCTACACACGTGTCAGTCTTTTCAGCCATTTTTGAACTATCTCGACTCCGCTCTATCGCATGGTACGGTTGGTCACGGCCAGAGGTTTAACTACATGTAAATGTCATTCGCATGCAGATAGTTCGACTAGAGTACGGAAAGCCGTGTAACCGAAGGTAGCCCTGTCGTGGACCATCTAGAGGTCACAATTTGCGCTTATCAGACCGTAATTTTCTGGATTATGGACCCTGTTTGTACACAAAATCACGTTTTTAGCATGTGGATTCTAGAGATAACAATTTTTATCATATTTTCAAAATCGTTCAAATATATCAAACTGTGAAATATGAATGAAGTTTGTGGACCTCCCAGAGGCGCCAATTTTTGAGAATCAACAAAGGTTCTTGGGTGAGTTTCACTTTGGTACGCATGAAACCTTCCATTCTAGAGCTTTAGCCCCTGCTATAGAATGTTAGAAAAACTCTATCCCGTCGTGTTTTGATTAGCCAATATGTCATAGATACAACGGAAATGAGATTGAATGAAATATTCGACTGCTCAGTAAAGTTATTCACAACCCGACAAGGCGACAAGTCGACCAAATCAACCCGCCGACCCGACAAAATGAAGGCGACGATCGTCGGGTTATTTTGTCGTGTCGGCGGGTTGATTTTGTCGACTTGTCGACTTGTCGCCTTCGACTTATTCACAACCCGACAAGGCGACAAGTTGACGGAATACAATTATTTCGACTTGTCGTGCGGCGACTTGTCGCCTTGGAAGTTAATCTGTGCGCATGCAAGTTATCCAATCAACAAATGCGCAAGCTCGAGTTTGACTTCGCCGCACGACAAGTCGAAATAATTGTATTTTGTCGACTTGTCGCCTTGTCGGGTTGTGAATAGGTCCAAGGCGACAAGTCGACAAGTCGACAAAATCAACCCGCCGACACGACAAAGTAACCCGGCGATCGTCGCCTTCATTTTTTCGGGTCGGCGGGTTGATTTCGTCGACTTGTCGACTTCTTCCTAAGGCGACGATTTAGATGGCCGCTAACAGCCACCATACCTTTGGGAGGTAGTAGCTTAAGGTGGAAAACCAACTATTTTCAACAAGGATTCCACAAATCGCAAATATATATTGATAAATAATCCCCTCTGTAACACAGGCAAAAAAAGTTTTTGTAAGCGAGAAATTATTTTTTTTTAAACCGGAAGTGACGTAGTTGGTTCAGCAGGCTCACTGGTCTCTATAGTAAGCATACAGATTTGGCATAAATTTTTTGCTGCTGTATTTTGTTCGCGTGTCGTGGTTTGATGAGAAACTGACTAAATTCTTACTTTTCCGTTTATTTTAGCACGAAACATTTTTAATTATTTTAAGACACTAAAAATCTACATTTGAAACATACATTGTATTTAAATAAACAAGTATTTCGTCGATAAACGTACTTTTCCATTTATTCATTAATGCTTACGTAAATTTTGAAATATCTATTAAAGTAATACTCGATTCTACTAATCGTACTTATCCGATATAAAAGGATGTAATTCTAAATACTCGATTCTACTTATCGTACTTATCCGATATAACAGGATATAATTCTAAATCAAAAGTTGAAAATAAAAATATATATAAAGTTTAAACATTTAAATTATACAGTAGAGAGCTCCCCGTGAATATAAGAGAAGTCCACTAGCAATTTATAAGGTGAAGATAATGGTGAATTTGAGTTAGATTATTTATATCTTCCAAAAGTCCCGGTAAATATGAACATGCCACGCGTAGGATAAACTCATTTTTTGATTGGCGGAAGACCATTGACGAAAGACGCCCATTTCTCGATACGAAGTCTGATTGGCTAGAATCTAGACTCGCTTGGTTTAATATGTCAGGTAACGACAAACCTGAGTAATGGTGTTCGTTTAATCAAAGGGTATTGTTTTAAAATTTTAAGCTGTCACCATTACGTCTAGATAAACAATCAATAAAGACCCTCTATTATATATATATATATATATATATATATATATATATATATATATATATATATCATTATATAATATTGCTTAAAATATATCGACAGCCATCAGCGTCAAGGTTGATTTATGCTTATTAGGGGATTATTCATTCTCCGTGTTTAATAAACATATAATATACATTAACAATAAACTATATCTATCTATCTATACTAATATTTGTGACTGTCGTTTGTCTGTCTGTCTGTGTATGCTCTAGAGGCTAAAGTAAAATATAAATTTATACACAGTGTTTAAGGTTTTGAGACAAATATCTGATAATTACTTAGTGGGTTGTGACTCGAAATCAGATTTTAGTGTGTTGTAAATGTTTCATTACTGACAAAGGACAACAAACGACAACCCTTGTTGACTGCGCGGGCGATTTAGCTGCTGTGGGGGGGGGGGGGTGTTCCTGCGATCAGGGGCCATAATCCATGAAGTTACGGTCCGGTATATGCCAATATCGAAAGGAGCCGAGATCTTTTGGATATAAACCTATGTTTCAAGTTTGGTTAAAGTCGGATAAAAATTGTGACCTGTAGAGTATACACAAACAAAATGTAAAGGGCGGACAGGGGCGACGACAATATACGTCCACATTAAAATCTGGGCGTATAAAAAAGTAAACAAGCATATAAGTTTGGTTCTTCTTTCAATTTTTTCGCAAAACAGGTTCATCAACGTACTGTTGAAGTCTGACGGAAAAGCTCCAGTAGGCTTCCAGAAGAAGTGTGCATCTCCTTTTGTAGCTATGACAAACATCGAGAATTTCAACAAAGGTGCTACAGATTATGGTTTAGGCAAAGAAGCTCTTTTCCAAACAACAGATTTATACGAGAGTCGAAAAGGACCCTTCCTCAACGTCATCAACTGTCTCCATAGCTTGGGAAGCTTGGTATGTTTTCGTGTCATTACAAAAATAGAATTATAAAACAAATTAAATACATATTACCAGATATATAATAAAGATTGTTTGATGTATGGGGGCCGGTTCGTAAGGCCGAATGGTCAGACGTGTGCACTTTAGATTATCAATAGTCGGAGTGTGTGTGTGTGTGTGGGGGGGGGGGGTGAGATTTTAACGTCCGCCAATCTGATTAAAATGCAGATCTGTACTTCGTTTCGTTTTTTATACTTTCGATGACCTGCACTACATGAAGATCTGACCAGTTGTAGTGGGAGGTCGCGTCGGGGGTCATACGAACGGCTTTTGACCCTATGACGCCGGACTATAAATTTTGAACTATAAAAAACGAAACGAAATAGGATCTTTAGATTAAACGTCACCTCAATACAAACTAGATCATTTCGGGACTAACATATAGTTCAAATTTATTTCAGCATAGCTAGGGGTCTTTAGATGTGGGAGAAACCGAAGGACCCAGAGAAAACTCACGGGGTGTTTTAGATTATATGGTCTCTCATTTAGTCAACAGGAGTGGTTTCGATTCTCAGCTCGTACGTGACAAAAATGTAGGCGCCTGTCCCACCTCGTGGAATTTCTCCTGGTGCTCCCATTACTAATTAAAGACCCACACACAAGCGGATTGTTGAAATAAATTGGACCCGAAGTTAATCCCCTAATGGCCTAATTTGTGTCGAGTGGACGTTAATCACCCCCCTCTCTCTCTCTCTCTCTCTTCCTCGACGTAGGCCTATATTATATTCCTATAATTGTTGACCTTAAAGCAGAAGACTTTAGAACCGATTTTGACCGAATCAGCCAATTTGAACCCACCACTAATGCTATTAAACGTGTTCTTTATCTATAATACATTTTTCACCCTTTCAGGCCAATGGCAAAGATTTTGAAGTAAAATACACAGGAGTCGATGAACCAACCTTGGACAGAGATTAGATAGATCACACCTTTTTTTTATTCTTCTACCGCCTATCTTTGTATAGATATTAGACTTAGCCAGTACCCACGACGGAGTCCACTCGATGTTCGACAGTGCATATTCCACAGTTTCCCGTGTTGGATCCACTGTTAATATACTCAACAACATCTTTTACAATAACTCCAAGTAGTGTACCAGAATCCACTTTAAAGCTACTTTTTTTTTTTAAATTTATATTACTTATATCCACTATATTATCTATTCCTTTTCACAGACTACCCTTTATAATCGTCAGCGATATCTTTTTTATTTTTATTATCAAATTAATATTTATTTATTGCTTACGTTTTTTTTAGTTTTTTTTTAATTTATATCATACACAATAAGGGAGATAAATAATAATAAACATATATATTCTTTATTTAATTGCATCTGTCATATGTCCTTGCTATATGTAGCCGGGCTGGTAAAAGACATACAACACTGTGTACTTCTTAATAAATGTTATTCAGTTATGTTTTTTTTATTATTATTATATTATTATTATAATTCTTTCCTCTTTTTGACACGTCCCAGTCAATCAGTCCGTTGATCCACAATTCCCAGTGGATGCCCCATATCTGTTTTATTTAATCTTTTTAAAAAAGGTATGTCAATTATTTAGATTAGAATTCCGTGTTTTTATAGCCTGATTATTTAGGGTGGTCGGAGTGCAAAATTTTCGGGAATTAAGTGTGGGGAAGATATGGTTCTTGTTTTTTTTATGTTTTGTTGGTCCAGTGTTAACCCTCCATGGAGTTACCCATCTTTACCACTTGGGGAAACTTTTTGGGGCCATTTTGAATTTTGGCCTCGTCCAATCATGTACGAGAACACTAATTCCTCGATAACGAGTGAATATTAACCTCTAAACCCAGCAGTTATGGTGTCTTACCTATAGGAAATCGATACCACAGATTTCAAAAACCCATGCATTTTACCCTATGGCGTCAATGTGACGTAAAATTCAAAATGGCGTCGAAGATGGCCACCATTCCATATAAATGGACACAGCTCACCAAATCTTCCCACTGCGTCACCCACGAATGAAGGGCGAAAGTTATTTGTAGTCTTTCTCTCCCTTTCCCTTTTCACCCTTTTGCATTGCGATATTTGTTGACTTTTTTGGTGTATAATCGAAGAAAAGGGTTTGGAAATGCATTTTCTGCCAGGTTTTGGCGAATGGCATAATTGGTGAAGAGTTGAGAGGTTGGTTAGGTTGAAATGTAGGGCCGAAAATTGCATGTTTACTTGTCTCTACTACCAGCTTGTGTATCTCAAGTTTTTCATGGTGAACCTCATACCATCCTCGGTTACCCAGTGTACTCATTCCGTTCTACTCCACTATACCGTGGGTTAATCTATGGGGGAGACACGTTTTCAAGTTATCCGCCCTTGATGATTGTGCTATTTTTATCGACCAATCCCATAAATTGTTATTTGAAAAGGATGTTGGCAAAGGTAACTAACTCTCATCGGACATTGTAAGGAGTTGGCCTATTCTAAATGCGTAATTATTAACAACCAATTATACATTATGCTAATGAAGACCAGACGTTCATATAATAATGTAGGGTCATTAGTTTTATTTAGAATCGTTCGTTCGTTCGTTCTCAGAATTTTATGTCCACGTGATATCGTAGACAACTTATTGTGTATTAAATTGCCAAGTATAAGTTAAATAATAATAAACATAACAGAATGACATATTTCAGACAAAGAACGAAAAGTAATAATAATAACAAAAGTCAAACATATAGATATTATACATATTTGAAATCAACAACACATACTACAGATTTTGATAATACAATTAAATATAAATAAATTATAAATATATACATTATTTACATAAATCATTCAGTAAATGGACATGAATATGGTTATCTACCCTTATAAAAACGAAGGCGAAACGATTGGTTTGTAAACTGTTTTCTGGTTAGTTCGTAGACTGTAGCTACATTCTAGGCCAGGGCAGATAATTTGAAATCGTGGAAACCCTATGGATTAACCCAGGGTATAGTGGAGTAGAACGGAATGAGTACACTGGGTAACCGAGGATGACCTCATACATGCTTTTGGGTAAGAGTTTGCCACATGTTGCTCCATCTGTGACAGAAAGCGTTCTACCCAACGAAAATTTGGGAAAAAGTTAGAGCCAGTCTAAGAGATGAGAATTAACATTTAAGTCAATAGTTAAATCATTAGTGATCTGTGGCCAAATGACCACAGCGCCCTTACTATTTATAATAGGTGAACAAGTTTGGTGCCTATGCCTAGGTTTTAGGGGTTAGGCAACCCATTACAACCAGGCGCTAGATGAAAAACGCATGACGCCATTGTGAAATTCAAGATGGTGGCCACCAAACTATATAAACTGTCACAATGAGCATCTTAGAACATTGATTTGGGTGTCTACACATATGTTATAGGGATCAAGTTATTTATTCCTAAATAAGGGTGAATATCGACCTCTAAACCCAGCAAGTATGGTGTATACGCATAGGAAATCGATAAAACAGATTTTTTTTTTTTTTTTTTTAAAAACACGTTAATTTTACGCAAGAACGTCACTATGACGGGAAATTCCATATAATTAATCATAACGTCCTTACTGTTCATGTTAGGAGACCAAGTTTGGTGTCTATACCTAGGTTTAAGGGGCGAGGCAGTCCATTACAGTCGCCCACTAGATGGAAAGCGTGTGGCGTCATTGTTAATTCCGAGATGGCCGCCATCAAACTATATAAACTGTCACAATGAGCATCGATATATATACAAATCTCATCAAGTTTACGTTATTAAGTCGGTGGATCAGCTGAGGGAGGTCATGTGTGCATATGTATGCCCCCCCACCCACCACAATTTGACTCTTGAGTCATGCATTGTGTATTGATTGTCATAATAAATAGAGGCCGCTCGGAGTTAGCTTCGCCATTGATATGACTTTTTTGTTTGGGCCCTATAACTTTTTAACTTGTGCCTGTCACCACTCGACTACCCGACACAATGGTGTCCAAGATGACCACCATTCCATATAACGACCATAACTACTCTTCTATTCATGTAGGACATAGCTAAAAACGTTGAGATATACTGATGTGCTTGTTTTTAGCTACGATTGGTGGTTGCCTTTTTTAGTTTCACCTGACAGACTTAATTTCTTTATTAATGCATGTAACATCTTAAAAATCAGTTAATTTTATACTATTAGGACTTATTAGACATATGCAGTCCGATCTACTGAAACAACTTTCATTTAGGCCCTATCAGCAAATATTGACCATAAAGTAAATCAAGCGTTGTTTTTATCAAAATTGATACGGACATTCATAACTATGATAGGCTATATTACTCCTGCGCAACTCGGATCAGGTTAGTACTTTGATTGGCTTTTGTACACGAAATGACATGAAATGAAATGGAGTTTAACGTCCTACTGTTCTGCTCCTAACCTGGGCTAATGAAGACGGGCATACGCCATACAGTGTGCTATGAGGGAAATTTTGCCCGGACAGCGGCACTACGGCCTACTCTTGTATCGAATTCCAACTGCCAAGGGATCTTTTACGTGCACGCCAATGTGTACACGAGACCTCGGTTTTTCGTCCCATCCGAACGACTAGACAGCTTTCCTTGTCAGCCCCTCCGTCCTGCATCACTGACAAGGGAGAACCACGCCGGAAAATCTGGATGAACTTTCTCGGCCAACGCAGGGTTCGAACCTATTGTACACGAGTCCTCGCTTTTATGTGTTAAAGGACAATATTGGTGCCAGTCATTATCACATATGTGTTAGAGCTGGTTAAACACATTCCAAATATATTTTTAACACAGAGATCATTGCTACGATAGCTGAGTAATACAGGTGACGAACGCCAAAGGAAAACACGAGTCGCCGCTCTATATAACTGACTGAAGCGACGAGTGATAACAGATACACGGCCGAATTTCTACTCACTAATAATTCCTTCCAAGACCAAAAGTTGTTATATGGGACTGTAAGAGGATATCTGACAATTCAATAAAGTAATTGAATGTCATTAGATAAGAGAACACGAGAAAAATAGAAATAGTCCGTACATTCCCTTGTATATATTCTTCTATACCTTATAAAAACATGGTAATGCACGGACTTTTTCTGTTTTTATTACGTGTTCTCTTATCTAGTGACAGTCAATTCTTTTTATGAATTGTCAGATATCCTCTCACAGTCTCACACAATAACTTTTGGTCTTCGAAGGAATTATTAGTGAGCAGAAATTCGGCCGTGTATATGTTATCACTCGTCGCTTCAGTCAGTTATCTAGAGCGGTATCTCGTGTTTTCCTTTGGCGTTCGTCACTTCCGATTCAGGAAACCTGTATTACTCAGCTATCGTAGCAATGATCTCTGTGTTAAAAGTATATTTGGAATGTGTTTAACCAGCTCTAACACATATGTGATAATGACTGGCACCAATATTGTCCTTTAAAGACGTAAATTTAAAATATTGGAGAAACAAAAGCAATCTATTATCACTTCGATTTAAAAAGAGCGGATCAGTACCTGTGTCAGGTAGGATTTTCTGCTTAATTATAGTTAGATGTGGCAGAAATGTTATAAATAACAATAACCAATCGTTGTTTTGAAGACAAAAAATTGGCAATTTTGCTTAATTTGAAACCCGATGTGATAAGCGTTAAAATTGGGGGTTTGCCACTTGAAACTATATAGCAGATAATAGCACCATCTCTTATCTCGAAACACGGAGGGTTGAGAGATGAGGTTTCTTATCCAATAAGGGGGCAATTTTGGTGTTTATACCTAGTTTTTAGGGGTCAAGTAATCCATTAAATCCAGTCGCCAGATGGAGAGCGTTAGATGTCAACGTGAAATCCAATATGGTCGCCAGATAGCCACAAATATACTGTCATAACCTTTCAGATTAGCATGTTGGAACTACGAATTATGAGTCTATACATTGATTATGGTCAATCTATTAATTAAAAACTTTCGCCGTAATTAAGACGTCATTGTCAAATCTAAGATAGTCATCATAATGTCAGTGTGGCATCTAAAATGGACACCATAATGGTCAGTGTGAAATCTAACATGGTCACCATATTGGTCAATGTAAAATCTAAGATCACCAGCATAATGGTCATTATCATTGGTGCATACGACCATATTTTGCCATTATCATAACTTGCAACCTTGAAATATACTTACTAGAGATTATTGGTCACAGGACTACATTAAGCTAGCCTACATGTATTATTGGCTGCAAATTTAATAATTTTAATTGGTACAGTTGTCTTATTCCTTTCACGAGATTAACTTTAGCAAACATAAGATTTGATTGTGGGTGGTCTGGTCATCTGCTACCCAGAAGGACAATGCTAGCCAGAAAAATTCGAATAGAATGGGATGATTTAGGTTAGATGGTCAAAAGAAGATTTATGACGAATATCTCCTTCAGACTTGAAAAGCTAGACATAAAGATAGGTTGCCAGGCAACGAAACATACGCTGACAGCAGCTAAATCGTCCGGGCAGTCAACAAGAGTTGTCGCATACTTTTTTCGGTAATGAAACATTTATAATACACTAAAATCTGATTAAGAGTAACAACTCATTAAGTAATTATTAAGTAATTATCAAAAAAAATCATTAGAATTTGTTTGGCTTCTATAAAGTTCTGTCCCATGCTAAGGTTTAGTATACGAAACATTTAATATCATTTATCTCCCAATAATACATTCTACAGTAGATATCGCTTGTGTGATATATTTCATAATCTACTGCGATATCTCCTTAGGAGATCGCTTTACATGAATATGATTGGTCAGTTGAAAAGGAACTACTTTTTTTTATTTTCAAAGAACAGTTCATTTCTTATTAGAAGTAATTTTTTTTTATTAAAAATGAACTATTGTTATTCAATTGACCTTGATGGAAACCACGGGTCAATATAAAGGACATTTGCAATGGTTGAATTGCTGTTAAAAATGATGTATCACTACGCCGTAATGTTCAGTAAAAGTGAAATCTACAGAAAAGAATTGTATTTATCTATTTGTGCATGTAAGAAAGGATTTGGTGATAAATAAAATCTCCTACTCGTCTTTTTTGATATCAAAAAGTATCAACACTTGTTGATAAAGTAAAAAAAACTCGGCAGGAGTAGGAGATTCTCTATTTATTTAGCTGTTCAAGTTCATTGAAAATCAATATACTTGTTTGTCTCAAGACCTTAAATTTTTCAAAGTGATCAAGGGCCATAACTTTGGCAGTAATTATCGGAAATCGTTGAAAATCAATAGGCTTCTTCGTCTCATGACCTCAAACACGCTGCGTATAAATTTAAAGTCATTCGGATATTAACTTTAGCATCTAGAGCATCCACAAGATTTTTCAAAGTGATCAAGGGTCATAACTCTGGCAGTAATTATCGGAAATCATTGAAAAGAAAATCAATAGGCATCTTTGTCTCATGACCTTAAACACTGTGTATAAATCTGAAGTCAGTTGGATATTAACTTTAGCCCCTAGAGCGTCCACAAGATTTTTCAAAGTGATCAAGGGTCATAACTCGGGCATTAATTATTGGAAATCGGTGAAAATGAATAGGATTCTTCGCCTGATGACCTTAACCACCGTGTATAAAATTAAAGTCAATCGGATATTAATTTTAGACTCTAGAGCATCCACAAGATTTTTCAACGTGATTAAGGGCCATAACTCTTTCAGTAATAAAAATTGAAGAAATGGCAAGTAATTTTCGAGTCGTAGTATAATCTGGGACAGACAGTAATCAACCTCATAATACAAGCTTTGGGGCCAGACGTGTTTCCACCTGTGATGGAGAACCCCGATTGGATCAAAATTTCCAGTAAAAGAGATGCATTAGCGAATTAACATTTATAGCTGCTCTCCCTTTTCATTTTCAATGCCATCTCCCGTCTTCATTAGCCCAGTTCGGAGCAAAACAGTAGGACGTTAAACCCCATTTCATTTCAATGCCATCTTTGTTGACGTCTTGGTATAGAATCAGAGAAGAGGTTTTAAACTGTGTACAGCAGATAGTTACATATTTAGTGGTATGCTGCTTCAAAATCTACTTCATAATACAAGCTTTGGGGCCAGACATTCCTCCACCTGTGTTGGAGAACACCGAGTGGAACCAAATTTTTAGTAAAAGAGTTGCAGTCAGGGAAAGCGGATTAACATCGGTTAAATGTGAGATTGCGGGTAGGGGGTTCTGCATCCATTTACTTTATATGGAATTATTTCCCCTGTCAATTAAATAAAACAATTTTCTGAAACCGTCTTTCTTATTTCTGACTGTTTCATCCAAACCTTTGAAACAGGTGAGAGAAAGAAATTGAGTTTAACGTCCACTCACACAAACTAGGTGATTTCAGGACAAACACAGTTCAATTTAATTTCAATTGTGCGTAGGGGTCTTTAGCAGTGGGAGGAAACCAGAGGACACCCACGAGGTTGGACAGGTGACCCTACTCCTTGTCACATACAACCGGGGAATCGAAACCATGCCAGTTGACTCAATGACAGACCTTATGATATACGCATGCACTTACTTGCTCCATAGCCGTTTAGTTTTAATACTGATACGCTCTGATCTCCCTTCCTAGCAACCCTGTTCCAACAGAGTCGATACATAAATTTAAACTGCCTGCACAGGTATGATACAGCATGAAGTGAAATTCGCATGGTATAATGTCCTGGAGCTGGACCCAGGGCAAGACTATTATAAACCATCCTTGAAAATGATTTCAACTTCTTTACATTTCTCCAATTGCAGGAACTGATCCAGAAACTGATCGAAACGCCCGCTCACAATTGCATAAAAACAATGAAGGTCATTTGAAATAAACAATCTTTTATTTTCCTTTTTTAATGAAACACATGTAAAAAAAGACTTTAACAAAACTACAGTTTAGTGAAATATATACAAGTTGGCATAATAATGAACACTTTTTAACCAAATGAATAAATCTATTACTAAATAACTACTATTAGAACAATCTTAAATTTTCTCCCAAAAAGATGCAGCTTGTACATGTATGTGATTTATATTTCTTTACAAAAAATTGAATGAAAAGCTTGACTTTCTACACCAGAAATATTATACACATTGAAGAGCAATTCCCCCATCATAGTATTACAAAGCATAATCAAACAGCTATGGATTGGGTCTCTCGTTCCTCACACATATCATTCTTTATGGACTGGAAATAAAACGGATTGTCGAGTAGCTATACCTTTTTGAAGGTAAAACCGTGGAATCATCAATACCAATTTAAAAAATTTCATCAGAGGCGATAAAACTGCTGTGTGTTACTTTAATATATATATATATATATTGCTATGTTCGATGTGTTTGTTCATTGTCACACCACCTTGTGATTTCTAGTTAAAATGGTATACTCATGCCATTATATATTATTTAAGATCTATATCTATATAAGTACGTTTAGTTTCATAATTCTTAAACTGATATAATTATTCACCATCTTCAAACAACCAAAAAAGCACCATAGAAAATATAAAGAATAATCCATACAATGGTTAAAAAATAAAAGCAATGGAAGATTAAGATAAATTAAGTGCATATACTGCTTACTCTATCAGGTTTGAGTATTATTGATATAGTTTTATCATTCAAGATATGAATACAGGGATAAGATTTTAGTTCTTTTTTAATGAATCTAATGCTTAATTGTATGACTAGTAATATGTACATATTTCACTCCATATATAAAACTAAAAGCGGAATAATTTAAGTTGTCTGCCCTTAACATTATGGATAATCTGCAACATTTTGTGCCGACACTTGCATTTATTTAATTAAATAATATGGTGAATTTAGTCCATCTACAGAATCAAGAATTATCATAAAAAGCTCTTTTCCCACAACAAATTGAACACAAGATTTCAGAAAGATTGGAATGAATGGCAGTAGTAAACTGTTGAAAAACAAAAAATCTACATATTTCCTCAACACTACCGGTACCCTAAATCTTCACAATGCAAAATAAATAAGAAGGGCAGACAACTCACTTATTCCCACCCTCATTAATATATCTTGGATATAAAAGTTACAAGTACCTGATCAATAAAGAGGCATAAATTCTTTATAAAAGAAATTAACGGACAATTCTAATTCTTTTACAAAAAATAAAAAAAAATTAAATGGAATTCTGCCATTATTCTTGTTCTTCTACCAATCAAAATACTGATAAGTGGTTCATGCAGTAAGATATCTTTGATCAGTAAAGTACTCATAGATCTAGCCCACAACTGTTCAAAATTTTGGTGCTAAACGGCAAAATACTGTTTTTATTCACCAATGACTCCACTGTCTCACACATTGAAGTTATAACTAGATCTATCACTCTTTTATTTTCATAAAGGCAATTACCCTAGTTCAGATTCACTCCTACTGTACGCAAAATAATATGTACTGTTCACATTCACACATAGTTCGGATTTAATTTGATACTCCTACTTTCTGCGGATTTAAAACTCATCATGTCTTGTGAGAGCCTCACCGAAATCTGTAGCTTGACTTCCAACAAACAAGTCATGCTTATCTAAAATCTCTTGCTTAGTTAACCTTCCATCCTAAAATAAAAATACAATCACATTAGTTAAAAAAAAACAAAAAAATGAAATGGTGTCATCAATCTACTGTTTGCCATGCAAAGAAAATAACGTACACCCACCCATCAGATTTTTGAAAGGGGGTTTTAATGGCTTTTAACTGTGCATACAATTGATGGAAGAGTCCAAAATTTGATACGCTTTGTCCTTATTACCAGTAGGAGGAAACCGGTGAAAACCCACGAGGTTGGACAGGCGACACTACTCATCGAATCAAAACTACGCCAGTTGACTCAATGACAGATCTTATGACACAGTGTGCAAGTGCTAACCATTCAGCCATCCAACCTGTTTATCTCGAACAAAACAGAATAAATCATAAACATGTGACCATAAACCAGCATGCAATTTAACAGTCTGTTTTACATCCACTAAAAACAATATTTATAATCTTAATTACATTAGTTCCAACTCAGAGAAGAAACACCAAACTTTGTTGCATGCTAAGACAGCCTTCATATTCATTGCACTATGTCTGTTATTGATGTAATGAAACTAGACATTAAGTTCCATCACTCTCACTAAATTAGAATCAAGAGCTATCATGTTTCAAAGCATGACAAATCAAATTGAAGAGAGAGAGAGAGAGAGAGAGAGAGAGAGAGAGAGAGAGAGAGAATGGGGTTTAAGGTCCACTCGACACAAACTAGGTCATTTCGAGACTAACACATGGTTCAGTTTTATTTCAATAATTCGCTTGCGCTTAGGGGTCTTTAGCAGTGGGAGGAAACCGGAGGACCCGGAGAAAACCCACGAGGTTGGACAGGCGACCTTACTCCTTGTCACGTACAACCGGGGATTTGAAACCACGCGAGTTGACTCCATAACAGACCTTATAATACAGCGCGCATGTGTTAACCATTCGGCCATCCAACCCCCCAGACCAAATTTGAACATTATGTCCTCAAAAGTGTCACAGACTGACAGACCCATTTTAATAGCCATCTGCTTTTTTTCAAACAGGATGGGGTACAGTATTATATTTTCACAAAATGGCAATGTCCTAAAATAACTTTTGTAGTTTTTCTTGAACTAAACTTTTATTATGCTGAAAAAATACAAATTTGGATAAACAAGTGCAAGTGATAACAATACAAACATTAAAATGTGTATTAAGATCTGTACCCAAGACCTTTGTGTAGAGTTGTGTTGCCACAATAAATAACCATTCGTCATGCAGCAAATAAAAACATTTCAAGGACATTGCTATCTTACATACTATATATACATACACACATTTGTACTACATTGTATCTACCCAACAATATTTTTGATTTCAAGAAAAGTAGTAATTCAAGAATTCTTAGTACATTATCACTTTTTGGTGCCTTACGATAGCCAAAAAGTCATTGTCCAAATAGAGCACATGTTCACTAATATATCTGCTTGAACATCTATATAGAGAACTTATACAAACAACTTTAGGCCACACCAATTTGAATTTCTTTTGTTAGAATTTTGGTTCCGATTTCAAAAATAATTTGAAAAAGCAAAAAGTTCTTGGTTTTTAGTTCAAAATTTTTAAGCGATTCAAGTCACGGGTACTTGACGGGATTAAAATTTATTTTTTCTAGCATACTATAAAATAGGGACAAGGTATATCACGCGCCATCTTAAAATTCAAAATAAGAGGTGGCTGTAGCACCCCTGTTTTGGCAGAATTTTACATCATAGCACAATGCATGGAGGATGCTGGTCTTCCAGTTAGTTTTGGAAATTAGGACAACAACCGAAACTCATTTCTTTACATATAAGATAGGTTGCCAGGCACTAAACATACGCCCACAGCAGATAAATCAGAGCGGTCGACAATGACTTGCATTTTTTTTTTTTTTTTTTTTTTAAAGAAAATTCCATACAGATCAGATTATAATTTTCAGCGTTTGAGAGTTCACAAGGTTCTACAAACTGAAACGAGGGCCTTAAGTCTGGGAGTAATTTACAGAAATTGGATAGGCTTCGTCGTTTGACTAATTTAAATGATGCATATATATTTCACACAGATGGAACGAAAACCTTTGTCGTTCGAGCGTTCACAAGGTCCAACAAAGTGAAACAAGGGCCATATCTCTAGAAGTAATTAACAGAAATTGTTGAAATTCAATAGGATTCTTTGTTTTACTAATTTAAATGATAATTTCATATAGATCGAATGATAACTTTTGTTGTAAGGGCATTCACAGGGTGCAACAAAGTGAAACAAGGGTCATAACTCCAGAAAAAATTAACGGAAACTATTTAAATTAAATAGGACTCTTCATCTCACTAATGTAAACAACATATCAAATTTCAAAATGTACCCTGTCGATTGTTAACAAGAAATTGTGGACGACGGCAATATACAACCACATTTCCATGTGGGCTTTTAAAAAGGGTATAATTATAAACATTACCAAAATAGTGATCAGGTTCTAATTTAACAAATAAAAGAATTTCAAAGCATCTCAAAACAGTATACTGAAATTAATTCCTCCAAATGTGTGTACACTAATCGTATGTGATGTTAAACAACGCCCTTGACTTGTTTTACAAACCTTGTCTTTATCGGATTCGTAAATAAGATGTTTAGATTCAGCAGATGAGTGATCATAATCGGTAGGAATGATCCAATCCATCACCTCATGCTTATCCATTTTACCATCTTTGTTTTTATCACGGTAATCAGTAAACTGCTTCCGTTCGTTAACTACCCAGTCGGGTTCTGGCTCTCCCTTTTTTTGATCAGACAACATGTCACCTACAAAGGTCAAGGGTTACAGATGAGATATGTTGTCGCCACCATGCATGGGGTTAGGGGGTCATGCGACCAACCAACCTTATCTTCATCAGAAGAGTGGATAAGATGTTCCACTTCTGCCGAAACGTGGTCGTAATCTTCGGGAATAATCCAATCTCTAATTTCTTCCTTGTTCAATTTACCATCACCATTTTTATCTCGGGTGTTAGCAAATTGATCTCGTTCAGCTTGAACCCACTCAGGTTCACCCCCTTCATGGTGTCCATCTTCCTCATCGTCATCTTCGTCTGCCTCGTCATAAATATCAGCTATAGATAATTAGCAGATTTAATAACTATACTTGAAGCATAATAATTTCTTATTTCATGGAAATTTTAAGACAATTTAGACCAGGTCACCCATTGAATAATGGATAAATATTTGAGTGATATTCCAAGAGCAATAGATAAATAGCTTATTCAGTCAGTGATATTCCAAAACCAGTCATAGGGTGCATCACCATAAATAAATATCTCCAAATATTTTGACAATTATACCACAACATGTATATGAAACTTACTTTCTCACATTCATAGTCCCTAAATAAACAGTTGTGTTTAACAAGTTATAAGCATTTAAATATCAATTAAAAAAAATAGACTGAAAAAGTTTACAAGACAACGGCATTACATCCAGGCATTTTTTTGAGTGCAAAATAGGTTAATTGTCCTTGGATTAAAATTAATCCCTCTTAACCAGTCTACCAAGCATTCTCTGACTGATTGACAAGCTGAGATAATAAAGACTATTTTCTACCAAACATAACAGAAAGCTCTATCAATAAATCTAACTTAGAAATGCGCACATTAGGCAACTCGAACGATTGTTCTGAGAAACCTGTAAAATCAAAAGGAAAATACTACTAGTATTCTATTCTTGCCTAACGAAGGATTTCTGAGATATTAATTTTACTAAACTGAAAGATGTCTCTCCTAACAGTATAGTTCATATCAAAGCAAATTAAAAAAACTAAACGCACACAATTTTCTAAAGCTGCTGTAACAACGAAACAGCTAAATATTACAATTTTTACGGCTTTAACAGTTGATAGATGTGTTGAAAATTTCACATGCAATGGCTATTTATAGCCTCATAATATACAGTGTGGCGTATTCTCCTGCTCCGTGTCCAGCCAGAAACCAGTTTGGAACTTGTAACTGAAGCATGCACATTGGCTGTGGCAAGTTAACTTTTAAAAGAGCAAATTTTGGCAGCGTGGGGTACCCTACCAATGGATAAATACTTCATTCAATGAAATTCTCAAACCAATAGATAATTATGCCTTATTCGTTTGTCTTCTCAAACCAATATTTTATTTTATTCGTTAATATTTATAGATCAAAAGTTTTCTTTTCTCTAGTAATTTCTATGTGTGTTCACACACACTTCAATAAAATAAATATAGTAAATGAAAATGCTTATTTGAAATAATGATGTAACGGTTCAAAACGGTTAACTGGTCATTAAAAAAACAACCGCCACCGTTAAATGATTTATTGACATTTGATAAAAATTTTCTATTAAAATATTTGTTGCATCACAGGAAGACATGGCAATATATATTTTTAAATTATTAGTATTACAACTTTTAAGTTAACGGACAGTATAAATTCCATTCATTCTTGATGTTTCATTTCTCCATTGACAGGTCAGTATAGACCAGTTCAAATCATGTTGATTTAATAAAAAAAAAAAAAAGCTTCTGTTTTAATTTATAAGATTAGTTATGACATAAATATTTGAAAGCATACCATTGGATTTTAAATACAAAATAAGTTTGATTATTCAACATCATCTATTTCCAAAGAATTTACTACACGTTTTTCTATCACAAGCCATGCTGTATCATTTGGTACCAGTGACCCATATGTCGTCAATTTTGACCCCATCGGCACAGCATCGCGTGTTCAAGTGATATCATCAATTTTACTATTATATCCTATTTTAATATTATTTTATCACATCAAACTTGTTTCCTTTTTGAGACTTTGTTTATTGAGAGATGAGGTTAATAAATGCTGTAAAACAATTATTTGTCAATCACTCAGGGCTATTTAATGCTTGGCAGCGAGTGCTAATAGTAGTAACGTATACAAAACTTCAAGCTGGAACTTAAAAACGTTAACAAATGACAAGTGCTATTTGCAGTATTTATGTGGTCTTTGCGAAAGAAAACGATGTATGATATACCAGGTATGATACGAAAATCAATACCGGTTAAGAATCTTTTCAACCTGTTCAACAATGCAACCGAACCGTGACTGGTTAACCAAGAGACCGTTTACATCCTTAATTTGAAATATGTAAAACTTTATACGAAAACAGTGAAAATAAACACCCATCAATAATTTACTTCCAACAGTTTTTGGCACCAAGGTGAACTTGTACTGATAATATACTTACCTATATATTCTTCTACACTAATAAAACCATCTTTATCTTTATCTATATCTTCTAATGTTTCCTACAGTATAAAATACATATCAAATTTACAATAAATTATTCACATGTATTAACCAAGACAGGTTGTGTCCATTACATTTTCTCAAGATCTTTTGTTAAATGTGGTCTGAATCCTTAAAATCACTATGCTAAATTGAGTTCTTTCCCTTTATAATGAAAGGGCCTTTATCCCAATGCATTCTGGGATTTGCCAAGCATTAAAATGGATGCTCGTTTTTAATGGACTGATGATAAATTCATATATCCAAGACAGTCTTACATTCAAAATACCTGAATTTAAAATTTTACCAAAACAAAATTAATTATTGGGTTTCTTTTACATCGGGATATACTACACTTACAAGAACTACTATCTCTCTCATATGTTCGGCATCTTCAGGATGTAAAAAGTTGCTAAATTCTTCTTTATTTAATTTATCATCATTATTACCATCGGCTCTTTCCCATCTTCTTTTATCTCTAGTGATCATATCACGGTATTCATATACAGGATCACCTTCTTTAGGCTCTCCAGCTGAAACCATAAACCCAATGAAAATTATTTTATGACAACTTTTATGTTTTAAATTGAACAATGTGTTTTAAGAGTACTGGTTCTTTGTTTTTGTCCATAATATTGTCTGGTACCTACAGGTTTGAAAATTTCCTGCACTATACTGCAGTATAGTGAGGTTGTAGAGCAGCTGATGAAACTGGATGTTATATTGTTAGTGGGGGCCAGATATATGCCACATATCTCCACTGCCGACAAATTTCCAAATTCCCCCATTCCCCCCAAAATGTCCTTAACCGGATATCATGCATCTGCCACTTTGTGATGGTATCCATACTATATCATTACTAACCATCTCCATAACCATATGTTCTTTTCATATAAGCATTCCAGGTAATTTCATTTGTATCAGATATATCATAATCTTTCCACATTCTTTCTGTGTCTGTTGTAATATAACGTTTCTGTACATACTGTATCCAATCTTTTAATTCATCTTCAGATACAAAACCATCAGAATTTTTATCAATTTTTTCAAATATTTTTCTGAAAGTAAAAACCAACCCTTAATTTAGTAAGGTATTGTTATCTAGCACATAAAATGCAACATGGGTAAAGGGAGATAACTGCATTTTGTGTCATAAAAATAATACATTTATGGACAAAAACAAAGAACCAGTGAAAGAAAGTACCTCTTAAAACACATTGTTCTTTACCCCAACCAACAAAAAGCTCCAATTTAAAACATAAAAGTTGTTGAACTTGTGAAATGAAAAAAATCTAATGGAAATTAAAAATATTTGAAAATAGATGTAACCATGTGTAAAATAGAAAGATTAGCATACTCTGCTTCATGTACAAAATCCGTCTCAAATTAAGGTACCAACAGAAAATATCTTTATCAGATGAGTTGACTAAATTTGTAATAATACTTTGTTGTTCACTGCACCATCACTAAAGCTAGTATCTTACTAGGCTGTGACAGCCCCCGTCTAGGAGACAAAAAACTGCGATAAAATATGCAAATTGGCGTCAATTTTCACTTGAAATCAGACATCAGCGTATTTTGCATGCATACTGCACTACTGCCACACAAATTTAAGATAAATCTCGGACAAAATTCGCCTCGAGATCCCATACATGTCACGCGACTGTCGTGCATATCTTGTGTCCGGAATGTAAGATTCTCATTTTTGTCATGTCACAATTTAGTTTCATGGGTAGCCAACCATTCACAAAGTCGTCTTGCATTTCTCAACACTTTTTAACTTGCGCGAACTAAATTAAGAAGGGTTTGAGATAGACGACTATTTTGAGAGAAAATTTGTCGCTCTAATATTTTTTAAACATGTTCAAAATTCCAACATCACAACGGCAATACCTTTCAAATTGAGAAACCTTGCAAACGTTAAGGCATTTTACAAACTCCCGAACAAATGCTGTTCACAATTTGTCGCCAACAGTTGCCGACCAGTGAAATACTGTCATAAAGCTGAGAATTTTTGTGTATGTCTCATCTGATTTTAACCTACCCTAATCTGTCTCGACTTTCTTCTGGTGAAAGTTGATCAAATGTCTGTCGCTCTTCTTTACCTAGAAATGCTTCATGATCATAGTCGTTGTTATGTTCTCCATCTTCTGAATGACTTGCATCACTGAGAGACTAAAAAAAAAATACAATCTTCTTTATTGTTTTTTCAAAAAGGTTGCAACCAGCTATTAAGAATTGTCCAGAATTGAACTAGCCACAGTTTTATATAATAATACAATATGAAAATAATAAGAAATGTTATCCCACAAATTGTCCTGGTCATTTCAGCGAAGGTCAGGAATCACAGAACGATTGTTGAGTTACTCTTGGGTCTAATTACCTTAAGCTAAGTAATTTATGAGGAGCCACAGTGGCTCAGACACAAACGCACTGGTTCGCTAACCAGAAGATCCCATATTCCATCCCGGTGTTTGTGGAGAAAGTTCCTCAAGAATTTCCAGCTTGGTTATTCTTGTGGTAGTGCAGGACAAAAGGTCTGGCAAGGAACATTGTCTAGTTGTTCGGATGGTTGCAAAAAAAACCCAAGGTCTTGTGTTTGCACCTCAAGACTCCTTGAAAGTTGGAATTAGAGTTAAAGTAGGCCATCGCACAGTTGTCCATGCACATTTTCCATAGCGTATGCCTGTCTTCATTTGCCTGGATGGAGCAGAAATGTACGAAACCAAGCTGATTCGGACAATGGCTGATGCGGACCAAATTATCGCAGATACGTTGCAGTAAATATACTGGTATATATGCCATTGTTTCATGATACTGAATTATTTGTTGCAGTAATTATACTGATATGCAGCTATTTGATATGGTGTTATTCGTTGCAGTGATTATACTGGTATGCAGCCATTTGATATTGGGTAATCATTTGATAATACTGGGTGGTCTTGATTGTCATTTTTGTCATATTAAATATATATGCAAACATATTTTACATACTCTCGTCATTCAAATAATGGTCCGATTGAGCCGTATCATGGTCCGAATCAGTCAAGAATCTGGTCCGAATCAGCTAAGAATCTGGTCCGAATCAGTTGATTACCAAATGTATGATACTAAACCCATTTTATTTCATTCATTTCAATACCTTTTCTTTGACCCGTTTCTTCTGGTCATCAGCTTTAGTTGGTATAGCTGATGCTACAACTACTATGATTAGCAAGAAAAATGTATAACATTGCATCATCTCTTTCTTTTTCAAGACCTGAAATGATAAATTTCATTTTTAAACTTTTCCCCCTTAGAGCTAGGGCACTGCAATAACCTATTATCACAGGCCTACTTTTAATTTTAATGATTATTTGTGGGTAGTCCAAGATGATTATTTGTGTGAAGTCCAGAAAATGCTCATAAATTAAGTTAACTTCAATAATTCAAAATCAATGATCCCATCATGTCGTGATCAGCTAACCATTTGGGCACAATGATCATTGTCTTCGATTTGCCCCTAAACGTGGTCTTAGCATAGGTCTACTTCTGGATAAAAATGAAACCGTCTTCAAAATAGCATTAGGCCTATGCAATTAAATGACCAAGATCACAATCTCAGTGATTAAAACACAGATCCTATTTCGTTTTGTTTTTCATAATTCGTTTTACTTGTCTTTAAGAGTTGTTATTTAACCCGAGTTCTGGTTGATGTGAGGGATTAGCCAATGAAACGATTTGTTGCGGCGAATTCTTGGCGTGCGGTTCGCAGGAACTGTGGGTATCGCAGTAGAAACATCAACGCTGATATTGCCCCTGAAGCAACCCCTCCCCCTCCAACTTCCAACAGGTCAGATCTTCAGGTATTGGAGGCCGTCTAGAGTGTAAAAAAAAAACGAAACGAAATATATCCGTATTTTCATCAGAGATTGCCAAGAGCATGAAGAAGGGCAAGATGAAGATCCCTTTTCGTTTCAGTTGTAATCAACTGACTTAAAAATAGTAATATTGGGGTTCTTTATCTTTGCAACAAATTTTACACTTTCAGTTTCAATAATTTATTTTATTAATCATGCAAATCTTAATTTTGGGGAAAGTGTTTATGCATTACTAGGTTTGATTTTTAACTATCGATCCAATCAAGCCCCTTGAAGATGCCTCAAAGGAGGGGGGCATTGCGTCGAATCAGCTGTCTTTCTGTCAGTGTCAAAGTAAACGTGCTTTCCATGCAATTTTGTTCATTCATGCGTTTACTTACCACCATGGTGAAAGAAACGTTTGACCAATCCAAGCTATTGAATTGTAGTTGGTATCAGCTGCAAATTAACCCGTACAAATATTGACTTTTTAATGAATAATAACCTACAAGACAAAGCCAACTGATGCAATTTATACACTTTCACACCGATCTGCCAGCGTGGCCAATTTAGTGCCAGCTCTTAACCGATTCGCCACTAGATTTTACAGCCAATAAAATAACTCAATTTCATCACGTGGCCTTGCTGCACCAATAGAGCTAGAGTCCACGTGGCCGAGTCTGAATTTAGGTTCCTCATAACAACAATGTATTTATAGGTCTTCATTTAAAAACCGGATAACCGGCGTGGCTGAAATTTGATATTTATAAACAAATTACCGGTAGAAAACAAAGTTTGGTTTTAAGCAACTTAAAATTATCAGAACATTCGGGACCTAGCGTAATTATAACACCCAGCTTGGTCAAATTTTTTTTCATCTGTTTTAATGACAATAAAATAAATTTATTTCGACCAAATTAATTATGTAGTCCTACACTTTTCATAGCTTACTCGTAGTCGTAGTCGTAGAGTCTATAATGTTGCCTAAAATGTAATCATGGACCTGATGTAATCAAATCCAAATAGCCTATGTTGTACATTTGGGTCTAATTCCAATCAGGTATTATTATAATTTATTCCAAATTTTGTCTTACCGCCACGTACCGAGAACAATTTTGTGGGGAATCAAAAAGCTATCATTTCGTCTTTCAACCTTTTTAATTGCATATAATTAATTGCGTCCATTAAGTAAATACAAACATACGTACACCAATAACATGAATACAAAATAGATTTTATGACATAATAATACCTTAAAATTGGGATAAATACAAAAACGTGTAAAACGTGAGATGATAAAATGAAAATACAATTTTGCGATATAACCTTGTACATCAAAGTAGATATACACATAAAATGTTTAAATTATGACGTGATGTAATAATGAACGTGTACATGCAGCGGGAAAATAAACTAAACAATAAGTTATATCTATAGTAGGCCAATATTTTACGACTAATAATAAAGCATATAATTTTGTTCCTGCCATGGGTGCGAATTAAACGGTATTTCCTTTATATCACGTTCCTTAACTACCACGGAAATGCCTATCGCAATTGTGTTTCCCACGCATCGATTTAAAAGGATAACAAAATCAATTATCAGCAGGTATATAACCCTCACCTAAAAGAAAGGCGCGCGGGTTCCATCCAGAAGTTCCATATAAGTTATAAGTGACTTTTCCGGCGTGGGTGTTTGGCTTCCACAGGCCGTGGTCTGGCTTAAAGGATCAGCTTGCAGCGTCTCTAGTCGTTCGGATAGCAAAAAAAGTCCCGTGTATAGACGTTGGTCTGTACGTAAAATAACTTGCAAAAGTTAAAAGTAGGAATTCGATCAATATAAGCGGAAACGCCATTGTCCGGGCCAAATTTTCACCATAACACTAAATGGTGCACGTCCTTCTATATTAATTATTAGCCAGATCGATGCAGATACAAGTTCGTTAATTGTTTTGTCATTTTTCAAACACAGGGCCTCCAAAAGACACCTGCAGTTATTCATCATAATAAACTTTAAATTTCGAAAAGAGTGGCATGGATTTGAACGCCAGAGGCATTTTGGGTGGTAGGCCGACAGGAAGGGCTACTACATGTACGCGCGTAGGCGCAACCTATCTGTTTGCTTGTACGCTCGTAAAAATGTACAATTCCAGTCTTTTGATATTATAGTCCAGTAGGTTAAACTGACTGGTTTTTCCAGAAAATTGAGATTGTTGGTGGTAGTTCGCGTCGACATGACTTAACAAAATTTCACGTTTAATCAAGTTATGAATATATATATATACTGACCGAATATTTGACATTTGAGTTAGGCCTATATCATGGACCGTAAAAGTAAGACATTGCATGGCTCGCTATAACCTGAAGGTCCCGTGTTCGATCCCGGTGTTGGCCGATAAAGTTCGTTAGGATTTTCCGGCGTGCTTAATTCCCCCTTGTTAGCTGTACATGACAGATGTCCTATAGCAAGGGACAACGTATATAGTCGCTCGGATGGTACTCAAAACTGAGGTCCCAGGTACACATTGGCGTGCACGTAGAACCGTATATTCGCCACATGTACGTTCTTGCAAAATTCTTAATAAATAACATGAATTCCCATACGTGTACTCAAGTTTAGGCCTAACCATCTGAAATCTACAAAATCCAGGAAATTGCATTTCAGGGACTCAAGATTCAAAAATGTCTCCGGAGAGCATGCCCCAGGACTCCCTAGAAAGCTCGCACCTGTGGTGCTCGGCTCGTGGCTGCATCACTCGTACATTAGGGGCCTGTGCATCAGTCGGTCTCAGTTTTGCTAAAAAAAAAAAACCAAACAAAATCGATATGTACACCCATGCGTGTACGATAAATATATTGACCTTTTCTCTGGTCTTTTCCTTACTACATAGGCCTATCTTATTATGGTTAACGTTCTTGAGAATCGGGATTTCAGAAGTTCTGTTATTATACGAATGGGGGCCACATTAATATAGGAAGCTTAATTTATTGATCATTCTAAAGAGCATCCCATACCGACAACATCCGATTTATTTATTTCTACGCCTATAAAGTCACATTTTAATGTGGGAGTATAAAAATAAATATGACTTGCTTTCGAATTCGTCAAAATAACTCATATACATTAGGATAGTGTGAGAACCTTAGTCGGCCACATACACATCAAGAAACACCAGCCCCAAATTAAACCGCTACGATGGCCTTCACATTCATGGAGCTTATGTCATCCTTACTGGACTCAAAAAAATCTCTAGTCACGCTGCAAACTTTGTTATTTTATCTTCGTGTCTTATCAATTATTCACAACAATTAGTTATGTGTTAAATTGTAGCCTATGTATTCACTTGTAATTAGCTTAAAACAATATTTCTCTTTTTAACTAGCTAGAAACTATCTAATTTCCCTGTGTAATGGCTTCCTAATTATCTAAGTATGTTAAGCTTTTGTCAATTTCTAGTATCTAATCTTACCTCCACTTATAATCTTTGATCGTTTATATGTTTTAACAGAATATGAATTCTTGTCTTTGTGGCTACTTTTATATTTTTTATACTTTTCGTATCATATTATTGTTTACCTTGTGTTTGATAAGGACACTAGAATACTTGTTGAAACCTTGCACTATATAAGTTGCTAGTGATTGTTATCCATAAAGTTGTGTTTGTGTTATTTCAATGTTTTCCTATCAATAAATGCCTTACAAACAATTACATGTATATCTCATTTATACATTATTAAAATGGATTCAAAAATATGAAATGAAATTTAAGGTCCTACTGATCTGCTCCTAAACTGGGGGGCATACGCCATACAGTGTGCTATGAGGGAAATTTTGCCTGGGCAGCAGCACTATGGCCTACTCTTATATCGAATTCCAACTGCCAAAGTATCTTTTACGTGCACACCAATATGTACACGGGACCTCGGTTTTCCGTCCCATCCGAACGACTAGACAGCTGTGATGAGGAAGAGTGACAACACACTTCACATTAAATGCCATAATATACATGTATTTTCCTGGTCTTCTTTTGAGGCAGTGGCAGACTAAGACTCCACGGGATAGGCAGTGAGGCACTTAACAACACTTGTCCTGGTTCCGGAGAGCCACAGTGGTTCAGCGGGTAAGACGTGGACTCGCTAAACTGTATTGGCCGAGAAAGTACATCAGGATTTTCCGACATGGTGCCCCCTTGTCAGTGGTGCAGGACAGAGGGCCTGGCAAGGGTCAATGTATAGTCGTTTGTATAGGACAAAAAAACAAGGTCCTGTGTACAAATTGGCATGCATGTAAAAGATCCCTTGGCAGTTGTACTTCAATATAAGAGTAGGCTGTAGTGCCACTGTCCAGGCAAAATTTCCTTCATAGCAAACTGTAAGGTGTATGCCCGTCTTCATTAGTTCCATTGGAGCAGAATAGTAGGATGTTAAACTCCATTTCATTTCATGTATTGATTCCTTTTTATTATTTAAATAATAAAATTGATAAGGCACTTTAGCACATAGACCAGTATTTATTGTGCCGATAGTGAATCCCTGACTGTGTTGCAGTCTTTTTCCTTCATTCCTTTTTTTATTATTTTATTGAACCCACACACTGATTGTATATTTATTTGGTATAAAAGTTAGTACATTCTCCAAATACAGTAATAACATTCAAAATCATTAATAACAAAGTATATTAACAAATGTGAACATTTATTTTGAACAAAATGTTGTGTACATAAACAGAGTATCTGAATTTTGAGATGGTGGCCGGGTGGGGGGAGGGAGCTAATGGTAATTTTTGCATTATTTTTTATTTATTTTTCCAAATTAATAAAACCAGGGGTTTGTAGGGAAAATAGTCTTAAAATTTTGCCAGGTATATTTACAATATGACACCTGAAAATATATGTGGTGTTTGAATTGTGCACAGTTAAACATTATGTAATTTATTTAAAGTTATTAGTATTGCATTTGATTTAATTCAAAAATTTAAAATACATCCCAGAAAAGAATGGTTATGTATATGAATATAGTGGATAACCATAAATTTATTTATAAGAACAATAAATTGATTAGATCCATGTATTTCATCCATATTAATATTTGTACCAGTACCCGTGTAAAAACAAAAGTATCTATCTACAATATGAAGAGAGAAATAATTCAACCATTTAAAAGGAACTATCAATATAAATCATAATTGCTGTAAAATCATAGCAAGAATTATTAACGGAATAAAATAAACAGGAACACAAAACAATTTATCTTTTTGCACCATTGTATCCAACATCTTATAGAACTAAGATGGTGTAACAGTGTCCATATGTTGACCAGAGAAAAGAAGCCTTACTCATCCATCAGCTTTCAAGACAACAAAGAATGGGTTATCAATATAAATATCCACAATATCGAAAAAAAACATTGGCTTGCCTAACTTCTATGTCATATAAATGTAAATAGGTTGTACACATACCATAAAAAGGCACTTGTTTGATATCATCCTAATAAGTGCACATTATTTGGACAGGCGACAATAATTATGCCAAATATAGTATCAATAATCTATAAATACATTGTACATATCCAAAATTTATCTTTTTTTAATTGCATATAGGATTAATCCATATTGGCAACCAGACTGAGACAAGTAATTCTCTCTGGTAATATAAGAAATAACCCAATCTTCTTGATCTCCATGTTTAAGCCAACATAATGACAATCGACAGAAGCAAGTAACATGGGCAAAAAAAATAAAATATTCGTTCATTTACAAAACAATAAATGAAACGAAATAAGTTTGATTTTACACACAAAAAAAACCCTTAATAATATCAACACACTTATTAGAATAAAAAAATATTGATCATATATTGCAACAAATTATTACACAAGTACAGTATATCATACTTAAAACAGAAAAATTAAAATGCTAGGCTGATGTGAATAAAACCAAACTAATCACAAAAGACTATCCGGTAGAGTTAATGACAAAAACTCTTCTTTTCTTTTGAAATATTCACCAAACCGAAGCTGTGCATACCTAAAAGAAAAAAAACAAAAAAACTGGTTGTTAGGCAACAAAGCTTACAACCGGAGCAGCTAAGTTGTCAAGCAATCTAAATTGTGTTCAAAGTGATCAAGGGTAATAACTCTGAAACTTAGTTTCATCGTCTATAATTTTAGCATGTAGAGCATAACTCAGACAATAAGTCGTGTCTAGGTCTCCATGTCATCAACACTTTGTATATATTTCTAGTCAATCAGACTCGTAACAACTTTAGTTGGAATTCTAGGGCAAACGGGTAGCGACAAATGTGGGCGCTTAAAAACAGGTATGTTCCTTTTTCTTTGAGTTATGTGTTTCACAATACAAGAAAATATACAATGAAATAAAATGAATCCAATATTTGAGAAAATCAAGGTTGATTGTAATGTCATCGTACTGAAACAGGACCTGCATTAGATTGCATTTTCATATAATTGGAAAGGAATTTCATACTTACTCAAGAAAATCAAAATCTATGGTTGAGTTTTTAGCTTGAATTATACCCCATATTCCCCAGAAAAAATGAGCTGCCTGTAAAAAGAAAACGAATCATTAGATGATAGAGATAATAAAACTATCAACAAAACCTCTGATTAGTATATTAGGAGCTTGGCTTCCAACTCATCCATAGGTGCCAGACTTAGCTTGTCTAAGAAACTGACCAAAATTTCTTGGGACCTATCAGTCAATTTTCACAGAGTAAAACTAACATAGTTTTCAAAACCCCATTTTCAAATGTGGCTGAGATCAAGATCAACATCCGCTATTTAACGGTACAGATCAATGCACACTTATTGAAGTCATGTCAGCTGCTGATTGTTGTTATAGAACCTACTGTTCTACTCCAACTGGGTTAATGAAGACGGTCATATGCCATACAGTGTACAATGAGGGAAACTTTGCCTGGACATCGACACTACGGCCTACTCTTATTTTGAATTCAAACTGTCAAGGGTTCTTTTTCGTGAACACTATTGTGTACATGGGACTTGAGTTTTTTGTCCTATCTGAACGACTATATGTTTTCCTTTACCAGGCCCTTTTAATGCCTTTATTTTGCACCACTGACAGGGAGGAAACCACTCCGGAAAATCTTGATGAACTTTCAAAGGAAACAACGAGATCGACCACTCAACCTCCAGGTTAGAGAGCCAACATCTTACTCACTGAGTCGTCATAGCTCTATTTTATACAACAGTATACATGGTCATAAATAGAGGATTTCGTTTTATCTAAGCTACACTTCTGCTCGAAGCTTTACATTCGTTTCATCAATAGAGGATTATATTGTAAGAATATATTTACCGATAATTGATTTGTTTACTTGGTAAAATCTCAAATTCAATCAAATAGTTTAAAAGTGACTGATCGTCATTTATATTTTTCAGAGAATATTTAATTTTTCACGTCTTAATGAACTCAAATTGATTATTTAACATTTAATTAATAAAACAAAACCAAGATATGAATGGTAAATAATCTTCCAGCTTTGATTCAATTGTAATAAAAAGAGGGCTCTAAAAAGATTTTACTCAAGACTTACAGGTGGCGCAGCGCAGGTTTGTATATCAACTGCTGAGGATGTTGATTGCTGTGAAATTTTCAATTTATCATATCTTTGTAAATACTAAACAGAATTTAACCATATTGGTCATATATTCTTGTAAGAGATCCAACCTTCACAGCAATATTCTAGTTTATCAAATGATAATCAGTAACTTTTTGGATAGGTGTTAGTAAAACCTACCAAAGCACATTTATTAACTTGGACATATAATCTTTCTACATCAGTAACTGTAACATCACTAGGTTTACGATCTGTAGCTTCAAACCAATATTCTAAATAAGCTTGTAACCATTTCAGCTGGAATTCTTTCTTTGGATAAAGGTTATAATCTACTTCATCTACACCTGGTGAAAACAACAGAATGGTCAATCAACTGATAACAAAATAATTACTATTCACTACCTGATCAATTTCTCCCTTGTTATTTGTGAAAAGTAAATTGCTACATATGCACTGAAATGTTTGCTTAGTTGCATCTCTGGTTCTTAGGTCAATTGCTTTCTAATATTAATTGCAGGGGGACTGCACTACACACAATTACACAAAACAAATCTGCAGACAAGACACTATACGCAGAATTCACAAGCAAACATACATTTCAGATTAAATGAATTGATCCAGGGGCTAGCCTTACGCGACCACTGTTCTGTACAGTCCTGGGTCTGTACTCTGTAGTGATACAGACTTCACTCAAAAATGAAAACTAACAATAAGAGGGAATATATCCCAAAAACATTGTGTAATACTAGTGCAAGTCATGACCTGCCATATGCCACATGAAATATGAATGTAAACATATTGAAGGTAAAAATTACCTATACAAGTAACCATATCGGAGAAACAATACAAGTGTTCGAAAGAATTGAGGTATATTGACTACAAATTTAGGGCATATGTCCTATTTACCACCCAAAAAAAACAGAGGAAAAAACAATACTGTATACAAAGAACCAAACGGAGAAAGTGTGACCTGTCTCGACAACAGTGAGTCGTCTGCTGAATGATGTGACGTAAAAGGTGGTAGTTTGCCAGATGACGTCAGGAGTTAAATGTAATATTAAAAAAAAAAAAAAAAAAAATGAAAAGGGCGATAATCGAGATAAGAAATTTTTCTGGATGATAGAGACTAAATGGGAGTCAGTTATAGAAATGTGTGAATGGAAAACACCCCCCTAACAAATACGTCATGTGTAGCATCATGTGCAAACATACACTGCCTTTTGCATCACTAACATTTCAGGAATCTGCTCCTAATGTAGGAATAACCTGATCACTTAAGATCAACTTGTTCTAAGATATTTGATTTGGTGTTATAATATAATGAACATATTTTTACATCAGTTATTCTAACAAAGTATTGTTCTTAACAATCTCATTAAAACGAACCTGCAAATTCACAAAAATGATCACCAATATCATAAGCTTGGAAATTGTTAAAGGCATATTCATAATCTATAAAACCAATTTTATCTGTAAAAAAAAAAAAAAAAAAAAAAAAATTCACATTATCAAAAATTTCGTATTATATAATCCTAATTTAAAATATTGTTCATTACTGATATGGGGAAAGTATGTTTGATAATGATATAGCAGCCTGTATAATGATTTTTGTCACTGAAAATCAACACTTTCACAGTGTGAGCTTAATTTTAGGGTAGAGAAAAATGGAATGGTAAAATACATATGGGGGTAATAATTGCCTTAACAGATGTTTTAGAACATTCTGGATTCTTCAGAAGTATATGGAAAAGATTTGTCAATGCAATACAACACTTGTGTTACATCATCCTTTAAGATAGTTCTAAGGGGAAGTAATTCAATCTTCAGCATTGAATTAATTTTTTTTTAAATGTCAGTTGTGCTAAAAAAAAAATTGAAATGACTGGAATATGTTTATATAGCAAGATTAAAATCAGAATAAAACCAACCTGTTTCACTGTCGTATATGATATTGTTTAGTAAAAGATCATTATGGCAAAATACAATTGGTGAGTTTAAAGCATCAAGATGACTTCTCAATAATGCTAACTCAGCTATTAACTCATCTCTCTTTGGAATGAACTTTAAATATCTAAAACAATATTAACAAAGTGAAATGAATAGAATTTCAGGTTTCACTTTATACATAATTCTAATTTTGAGAATAACTGAAACTGAAACAGGACTAATGAAGACATATTTGTGAATAACAGGTGATACTATTTTCTATGGTTATATTTGATCAGTAAGGTAGAATTTTGCAAAGGCAGCAACTGAATTCTAAAATGATATTTTATAAAGCATTAAATGGTGTAGACCTACCATAGTTATCATTCGCAGGTGCTAATTAATGTATCAATTTTATGACAATTTTTTTTTTACTATTTGCTTTTCCCAAAATCAATGTTTTGGTGTGCTAGTCAAATGGTGATAGTTGTGGTAGGCAACACAAGATTTTAACCATAGGCAATCTCAACATAAGGCAACATTTTTAACATACCTCTCTTGTTGTGCAGGATTTTCAAATGAAGCTGGTAGAAGTTCAATAAAATTCTCTGTTTTTGTATATAAAAATGTCTTTTGGTTTGTTGTTAAATTTGTATGAGCATCTATAGTATGTAACTTGACCATTTCCTTAGCAACTTGTCTGCAACAAAAAAAAAATAGACAAGATTCACTTAATAAAATTAGACATTGTAAATTACCAAATGCCATTCAAAGAATATTGTAAATTACCAGTTTATTTATCCTGCAGCATTTTTATTCTTATTCTAAGGAAATCAAACATTGACATTTTTCTATTTTAGACTCATTAGCTGGGGCGAAATGGCATCCACAGTGTTCTATTTTTTCAAATTTTCAGACCTCTTTCCCCCCATGGCATTTCAACACAGAAATCTTAAATTCCTGGAATCAACCCTGCTAAAAATCCTGGATCTGAACCTATCAATCAGTGTCTAATAATCTGGATAGGAAAAAAAAATCATATTATCATAAAGTATTAAAGGTCACCGGAAAAGGTTCATAATTTTTTAAATAATGCAAGTAATTATGTCAACATATCCTTTCCTTAAGTATAACATGAACCCGAATGTCGATATTACCTACAACAGGTAAATTTCAACATTAGTAATTTCCGCCATTCTCCGTGGGTAGTCGTAACTTTCCGTAAATAAACAATCTGTGAGGTCATTTTAGTACTTCTGCTCATATTCTAGTCTATATTTCTATGTACAGAAGGACTAAAATGACGTCGCGGATTGCTTATTGACGGAAAGTTACGACTACCCACAGAGAACGGCGAAAATTACTACTGTTGAAATTTACCTTTTGCAGGTAATATTGACATTTGGGTTCGGAAAGGACATGTTGACATAATTACTTGCATTATTTAAAAAATAATTGATGCTTTTCCGGTGACCTTTAAATTCATACATTGCCAGCAGCTTTCTTGTCCTGACCATCTGTAGGAAAGGCATTAAACTTCTTCAGATTGCAGCACTACATTGGGAGACTACAATGTGAGGGGACAAATTAAAGCATTACTTGTATGTCGTAATCACTGTTTTCTATAGACATGTACAGTATAATAAATTAAACCAAATGAGGCTAATAAAAAGACTTTGCAGATGAATGTTCTTACTTAAAGCGGCATTATGGGAGATTAGATAAAGAGCTGACAGTTCTCGCTATAATAGTTAACAAGCAGTTGCCATGCAAGATATGCCAACATTTTGCAAGAGATGGACAGAGAACGAGCTATGAAGTTACAGTCTGATATGCGCAAATATCGAAAGAAACTGAGATCTTCAAGTTTCATTAAAATCAGATACAATTGCACCTTCTACAGGGTCCACAACCTTGGTATTACATACTTTTAAACTATTTGCATACAAGGAGCTGCTATTTTGATGGGCAGTTTGGATTGGACTTTCATGAAATTCAAACTCAACCGTCATTAAGGTGTACGGGGGACCACAAGCTAAAAACATGATTCTTTGTACAATTAGGGGCCGTAATCCATGAAGTTTCGATCCGATATGCCAATGTCGAAAGGAACTAAGATCTTCTGGAGATAAACGTATATATTCCAATGTGGGTATATAAAAAATAGATAATGAGCCGAAAAATTCTCATAATTTCAATAACACTTTAGCCTTGATTGTCACTGTTAACATTGTTACGATAATAAACAAAGTCTCAATAATCCATTTTTATAGTTAATCATCAGCACAGAATTTAGAGTTTGGGAGACTTCTTTACTTAGAAATGAAATGGGGTTTACATCCTACTGTTCTGCTCCAATATGTCATAGAGTAAGGGAAATTTTGCCCAGACAGCAGTGCTGCAGTCTACTCTTTTATCGAATTACAACTGTCAAGGAATCTTTACTACTTGCCAATCTGTTCTGCTCCAACTGGGTTAATGAAGCCGGGCATATGCCTTACAGTTTGCTATGAGGGAAATTTTGCCCGGACAGTGTGACTACAGCCTACTGCCAAGGGATCTTTTACGTGCACACCAATTTGTACACAGGACCTCGGATTTTCGTCCCGTCCAAAAGACTATACATTGTTCCTTGCCAATCCCCCTGTCCTGCACCAATGACAACCTTTACTTTGAAGTTATTAAGTCATCATAATGCAGGCAGTGAGAGATCAGATACATACCTATAGATTTTTTCATCTTGAACCGATTTCAGGAGCAAAGGGCTGCCTTTTACAAAACCATATGCCATGCCATTTTTAAATACACAATATAATGGTGGTGAACAGCCAATTTTAGATAATTTCAAAAAAGTATCCTTTTCAGCATTTCTATCTATTATCAGTTCTGTTTTTTCACCAAATATTCGGAACATAACAACATCATCAGGCTTGTCTTTCTGAAAGCACCCAAATAATTTGTTGGTTATTCCTTCACTGAAATGCTGAAAAATAAACCATACATATTGTATTCTGTATTATATTATCAATAAATATAAACCATACATATTATATTCTGTATTATATTATAAATAAATATGGTAACTAAGCTTGTTTCAATCCAACCACCAAAACAGTTTGACGAAGGAGGTAATAGGTGTAATTATACTATAGAGACAAAGTATATGTAATCCCTAAAGCTGTGCAAAAATATCCCCTTCCTCATGAGCTATGCCTCACTGTCTAGCCTATACTCAAATTATCTTGGCCATAATCATAGAGATGATAGCATAGAGTTATTTTTTTACTCTGTGATGATAGAGAAAGGTCAACTGCAGGCCAGTTTGCTGCAAATTTATTGAATGGGTGTATTAATTATAAATTTTAACTAGGTCATGGTTACCTTAATGCCGATATTATCTAGATTCCATAATGGCTTTATAAGTCTCAAAATTTCTTTTGCACCTTGGTCAACACAAGCCAAGTCTATCACAGTTTCACTCGGTACAAACCCTTCGTTTTTACTTGAGCGCACTCTTTGCATGATTGATGTCACTCTGGAGCGGGCAGACGGATGGAGGATGACTGGCTGTGAAGAAGGCTCCTTGATGATTTCTGCCCTCACCCTATACTATTTTCATTGTACCGTAATATATCTTTAATATAATATTATGACCCGAAAACTGCCAATCTCTAACTGACAGCCGCTCAACAGTTTTGTCTTTGTTATCCAGGACTTTGGGTAATGTGTACGCATGCTCATTTAACACCGGACGTGTTATATTGAATTACTGAAATCAAAGAGTATTAATGAGTCTTATTATATTATAAACTGTTGTACACTTGATCTAGACTATATTACCGTGATAAGATAATGTATATTGTATCGCCCCATGATCACACCATACACTTACACTTATATTGCTGAAAATTAAACAAATTGTAGGACCTATCAGAAAAGGGCTTGCGAAATATACCCTCATATTATGGGCGTATATATATTAGACCTATACTACCTATTATAAGATTTGTAAGCCTAGATTGATTATTATGAAAATAAATCAACAATTGAATCAATAAAAAAAACCACCTATAAAATTATGCAATGAACAAAATAATATGGGATAATCATATTAACATTATAATAGGTCTAATATCCCATTTCCCACCGTAAAAGTGCCCAATGAAAATATATATATTTATTTTATGATCAGTAGTGGAATACCGCGTTTTATCAGTGAAATAAAAGTGTTATTCCACTGGCTAAAGTAGTCCATGTTGTTTTTACCTAAAATGATTGTAAAATCATAAAATAAATAGAACATTTGTCGTTTTGTCGTGAAGAACATATTTTATTTCATCTCTAAGCAAGAAAACGTTTATATTTTCACTTATGCCTATAAACGTGTATAGCTGTAGCCTACTATTATTACAACCGTTCAATCTGAACTTTTAACAGTTTGTTTGAAATATGGGTATCGAGGCCTATATGCCCTCTAATGTATTATTTATTTTATTTATTATGTATATTTATTCATGTATCATAGCCTACTCCGTCTATGTGGAAGTCTTGCTGATACGCCGATGCAGCCATTTTCTTCATTTCTTTTTCTATATTTACTTAATTGACTTCAACGATAATAATAATTAGCAGCAGCGGGATGGCAAACATTTTAATCATTTTAAATAAAAACACATCACAACAAAGTAATACAATGTCAAACTCACAAACCCCAAGACGGGAATGAAGACGTTGTCTAACGAGGAATAGACTAATAACGTTGATAGGCTACTTGACCAATACCCTATAAAGCCAGAAAATGGTGGTCAGTGAAACCCGAAAAACTATCCGAAGTGGCAGCACCCCTTCGAAAGGAATGTCCACCGTAGGAATTAAGGCTGCTGTAAACCTGGTTGCACGAAGCGTATAGTGCGAAATGCCTTCAGGAAAGGGTGATAAGCAAGACACTGCCAACATCGAGCGCGAACAATTGGGCCAAAGCTTGTTTTGACCAAAAAATTGTTAGGCCGCAAGAAAAAAAAAAATCCCAATAAATCGGGTTCAATTGGACTTGGAGCTTTGTAACTTTGAGCTGTACCAAGTAATCTTTTGACACCTGTTAGGTTTTTTATGGACCAGTTTGAAGGGTTGGCGAGATTATTGGACTTCTGCAGAATCGAAATAATATTTATATAAGAAATTATAGTTCTAAACTTAAATTGTTTAACACGTGATAAACAATTCAATAGTATGCTCGGGCCCGTATCTACAGGGGGGCCCCCCGCGTAAAATGCTCGCCCCCCCCCCCCCCCGCTCAGAAATTGCTAACAATCATTAAAGTATACACAGTTCCTTATATTAACCTAAAAAAAACTACGCTTCCCTAAGCAGGAGGAGGTATAATTCAGGCGACTATGCGCATAATCCCATGGTATCTCATTACTTTATAAACCATTTTTTTGGTACTAATCTAAAATAGTTTTAAATAAATTTAAAAAATCACGATTTTTTTTTGTTTGAATACTTATTTTAAAATGCTTATTAGACGCCTAGGTAACTACATAGCATGATGATTACAACAGTCTGTTAGAATGACCTTTCCGAAAATTTGCTCAAAATGTTCGCCCCCCTACCGAAAGGTAATGCCCCCCCACCCCCCGCTTAATGGTGTCTAGATACGGGCCCGAGTATGCTGAGCCAATGGAAGCATTGTTAGTTTCATTCCTGAACAAAATTCTATACAACACTTGAGGTGAGTATTATATTATGTATAACAGTAGTTTTAACCCACCAAGTTTTTGGTGTCGCAGAACCGAATCTTCCAGGTTTACGCCACCTAGAAAAGTATAGTAATTACAAGAGACATGATTAAGTAGTTCAGCAGTACTAAAATAATAATCATGGTAAATAATGAAATTACTTTGGGAGCTCCTCAGGTTCTCGGAGGCGGGAAACAGCATCAGCAATTAAATTACGACAGCCCAAAACATGAACCGCTTTAAAATCGAAATTATAAATTGTCGATATCTTAAACAATATACGTAAGCATACCGTTAAAAGTTTGTTGTGTGAAGACACTTTATTAATAACACATTTATTATTATTATTATTAAACATTTATATAGCGCTAGTTTCACCAACGGTGTTCAGAAGCGCTTTACAAAACAATGTGTACAATCATATACCAGTAAAACCAAAAAATAAAAACAACTAAAAGACTACAAAAAGATGCAATATAATAAAATAATATATATCTAAGTAAAAGCTTTTTTGAATAAGTAAGTTTTAAGAGCACATTTAAAAGACTGTACCGAGGGGCAGGAACGAATATCAGTATAAGAACCAGATGGTTTTAAATCATTCCACAGGTTTGGGGTTAAAAATGAAAAGAATCTTTCACCATATGTAAGCACAATCTGTTTCACAGAGAATTACGAGTCTAGAGTAATATGATGTAACCATTCTAGCAGATCTTGGCTTGAGACGATAAATGTCATTTGAACTACGGAGACTACGAGCATTTGTTTGTTTTTCAATTAAATGACATAAATAAGATGGGGATAAGCCATGAAAACATTTATAAACAGTTAAAAGAATCTGAAATTGAATACGATATGGAATAGGTAGCCAGTGAAGTTGTTTAAGTATGGGAGTACTATGATCATGCCTTTTTGTGAGGGTAATAAGTTGCGCAGCGGTGTTTTGAACTTTTTGTAATTTGTATATTAATTTATTAGGTAAGCCAGATAAAAGTGAGTTAAAAGTATTAAGTCTTGAAGTAATAAAAGCATGAACAAGAGTTTTAGTTGAATCAGAGGAAAGGAATTTGCGAATTTTGCCTATATGAAAGTAGCAGGATTTACAAATATTGTTCACGTGATTAGACATGGTCATTTTACTATCAAAATAAGCACCAATATTGCGAACAGAGTTGATAGGAGTAATTTCATTTCCATCAATATTAATCGAAGTTGATTTAGTTATAGTATTGAGGTTATGATTAGATCCAAGCAAAATAAATTCAGTTTTATCACCATTTAAGCATAGAAAATTTACAGACATCCATAATTTAATTTCATTGATACACTGCTCAATGTTAGATTTGCTCAAAGCATTCCCATTCGCATTTAAAGGATTAAAACTTATCATCGGCATAAATATGATAATCAAGACCATGTCTTTTAACAATTTTACCAAATGGAGCAGTGTAAAGAGTAAATAAAATGGGTCCAAGGACCGACCCTTGTAGTACCCCATATAAATTATTATGGTAGCCTGACGTCACATTGCCGATAACAACCCTCTGTTTTCTATCAGTAAGATAGCTCGCAAGTAGCTGGAGTGCAGATCCTTCGACACCAAAGTCTGTCTGAAGTCTTTGTAGGACAGTATAATCTAAAGTACCAACAGAACGCAGTTTCTATTTTCTATTGACCTTAATATATCATCTTGCACTGTGAAACTTACGATATGCACTTTGTAGACTATCGTGAAGGTTGTGTATGTCAATATGTTCAATCAGTTGTCTGGCTATTCATTTTTCAAACATTTTGGAGATAAAACTCAAGTTCGATACAGGACGGTAATGTTTTAGCACATTTCTATCTAAAGTTGATTTTTTAATAACTGGAACGACATTAGCAACTTTAAAACAATCGGATACCTTTCTTTCTTGAATACAAGAATTAATGATATCAGTAATCACAGGTAAGAATAAATTAAGGTTTTCGTTTAGTAAAGATGTAGGGATGGGGTCAAGAGGGCAGGTTTTAGGGGCTGACCATTTAATAATATCTGAAACAACAGATTCGCTAACTAAATCAAAAGTTTCAATGCACACTACCGTTGGCGTCTCATGTTTGGGTACAAAATTACATGAATTGTTAAATTTATCAAGTTCTTTTCGTATAAGAGTTATTTTATCGGAGAAGAAGTTTGCTAGCAGACATTTATGGGTGCAATCAGGGAGGACAACAGTCGCGGAGGAATGGTCAATCAGTTTATTAACAACAGAGAATAGTTCTTTCTGTTTGTTGGCACTATTTTGAATTTTTTCATTGTAGAAGGAAACTTTTGATTGTTCAATTATATATTTGACTTTGTTTTTCTCTTCTCGGTAAAGGTTTTTATGGATATGAAGAGAGGTCTCACGCCACTTTTTCTCAGCTTTCTGCGTTTTTGTTTTGCTTCAGCTATTTGATTGTTACTCCACTCATTTTCTTGTCTAACAGTAAATGTTTTAGTGGTTAACGGAACTAGATCGTCAATGATCTTTCTCAGTGTTTTATCATATGAATCAGCTTTTACATTCACATCACACAATTCACAGATGTCGGAAAAGTTCGATGTAACAATTGTTTCACTAAAGGTATCATTGTTTAAAGATTTAAATTTACGAAACGATATTGTTTTCTTGTCTAAATGCGGCTTCTCGGTTTGAATTTTAAAGGTCTGATAGTCTGATAGTAGGGTATCTTCCACCAGTACATCATGTATATGTATCTCATCTTGCCGTGTAATGAATAAGTCAAGAAGATGACCTCTATTATGGGTCGTTTTGTTGAAATGCTGTTGGAGGTTGTAGGTAAGCAGTATTTCCCGAAAGCGATTACTCAGTGGGTCAGAACTGTTTTCGAAGTGAATATAAAAGTCGCCAAGTATCAACAGGTCGCCCTTTGACGATAATTTTGTTTCAAGAAGTGATGTAAATTCGTAAAAAAAAGTCGTT